ACCGTACCCTCACTGGCGGGTCACCCTAGGTTTCCCCATGCTGTCTAGGAAAAACATCTCCAGGATGAAACTACTGCTAAATTGCTATGGGCTAGCATCTGACGTTTGTCGCTTCCAGTCAATCCCCTCCTCTACCGATTTCTGTCCCCTTTGTAACTCAGCATCTGAGGACGCCTCCCATCTCATAGCGAACTGCCCTGCCCTAACCCCCGCACGTGGCGAATTTGACCTGCCCCACCCTCTTGCTTCCGTACGTGTCTCGGACCCGACCCGTTTCATCTCGCTCATCCTCGGCACCCCCGTGCAGCACGCGCGCATTGAATTTCTTCACCATATCCTATCTGCTCGCACTCGACTTCTATCCTGATTCACTTCATCTTCGCCCGCACCTAGGGCTACTCTCTTCAGTGGAGGTTATAAGGAAGAAGAAGAAGTTCCGCGCTAGCACGCCGCAGTTGACGTGCACAAAGCTGGTGCTTTAGCACCCTAAGCACCCCCCTTGGCTACGCCTGATTTGTCTTCCTTGGTGAGAGCCATGAAGGAGAAGAAATCTCTGCCGGCAAGGACGGCCTCCACCTGACTGGGATCACGAACGTTCACCTGCACACCACATGCTGATCAAAATACTAGATCCGCCACTTGCAGTGCCCAGACAGGACAGCATTCGCCCTCATCGCCTGAAAACCAAATCCCATCCTTAAGAATGGTAAAAGGGACAGAAGTTACCTAGAACTCATTCTCTGAGCCTAAATCACATTACGCCTACTCGATCACTATTAACGCACCCCAATGCACTCTGTGGTGTGATTTAACAAACACAAGGAAGACATCAAATCTCTGAAGGTCGCAGGCCTGCAAGGCCCCTAATACAGGCCATATCTATGTCAAATGCACAGTACTTCTCTTCTCTTCTCATTTATACTTGTGGTCTGCCACTAGTAGACAGACAGACACACTTACAAACCAACAGTGTGCATGCACATCGTGGGTCAATGAGCATGCACACCATAGGAATGATATAAAATGATGGTATAAAATTGTGCTGAGACAGAAGAACTTTCTTCGAGCAGCTTGGGTTGGAATATTACAAATGGAAAGTAATGTGTTATAGTCCAGATTCCATTGCTTAGTGCAAAGACGTAATGCCAGCCTTTGTACACTTTTGTCAGGTAAGGATGCCATACTGAGAGGCATACTCCAATATCGTATAGAAAGCTGAAGGAGACTGTTAGTATCATCATTGAACGCCATCATGGTGATTTGCTTAAAAAAACAGAAAAAGGTATTATAACCCCATTAACCCGCTTCGCAGTTATTAAACCCCCCGACAGCATTACCACTATTGGTAGTTATATTTGGTATATACATGATGGCGGGGCTGCGTCGGCACGCCGCAGAGCCGCTGATAACCCCTCCCGCTGCATAATTGAAGGGATCTTCTGATACCCTTGCCGCCACCACAATAAAGGGGGGTAGTTACACCACTCCCTTGCCGCCAACCCTAACAGGAGGGGTATTACCAGCTCATTTCTTCCCCATAACCCCGCCATCTGTAAACTTCACTGATGTGATGCTGGGGAACCCCCAAATTCCCCCCACCTAGTAACATATATGTAACCTACCCAGCATCACCCTCTACCCTCTAGGACCTCATAACACCCCAACACCAGTCTGTCTCTCCCCTCAACTGCGCTCCGTGAAGATACAAGATCAAAGGAATGTAGCTATGCATAACACAAGTACAACCAACCGAGATGACAGATCAATGGTGCAACAGTCATGAAACCGGTTCTCCCGAGTATTCAATGGTGCAACGGTCATGAAACCAGTCTTCCCGAGTATGACGCCAGCTCCGCCTTGGGCATTCTGATGTAGCGCCTGAATGACTCGCTCTTCCACCTGCCCAAGGTTTGTATGGTGGAATCTGCCACGTCCCTAGCCGCCGCAGTAGTGGCTGCTCCTATCCTGAACGAATGACCCGAGAACCTGTGGTACTCCACACCTGCTGCCGTCAGAGTCTCTCTCATGCCGCTCACCAACTGCTCTCTAGTAAGAGGGGAACCATCCTTACAGGGGGTCTTATCCAAAGCCTCTGTAAGCCACATATGCCAGGACTGACCTTACCGGACAGATATGAGAGCTAGTCCAGCCGACCATGATGTTCACACCTTGCCGCAGTTGGTCCATTTTTGACCCCTTGATAGTTTTCTGCAGCCAGGTAGGATTGGTGGTCGAGTCCACGGGACCTGGACACGATGCTGACTGTACTGCTCACTGCGCATGCTCACAGTCCTGCCGCCCCGCCCCGCCATCTACTGTTCGTGTGTTAACATCGTTTAACATCCTATTAAACTCCCATATAAATTGTTATGGACTCATGGAGGCTCTGGACACATTTATGTGTCTGCGGTTGGTTAAGTGTTAGGGCGCTAGAGTACATCAATTACCCTTTTGTGCAAATTACATGTATAATTAATTAATATTACCGTGACAGCAGGGTCAGTAATCTAAGCACCATGCAAAACTTCAGCCTCTTACGAATTTGTAGCTGTTACCTTTACAGCTATTTCTCATCCCCTTTTCCTACTAGGACCTGACAAAAAAGCAGCATCAAACCAGGTGGACAAAAACCAGACAGAAAGTTAAAAAGGTGCAGCCTAGCTAGCTGTGTTACATGAGTTGTCATTTATTACACCTATGACGAACCTATAGTGGGAAAATGGGCTGATGAACGCAGAGAAGGACGGCCGTGGACTCAAACTCCGTGTTGCTCGTCTACGGCCCGTTACGTGGCAAAAACGTGTCAACGCGGACGCGTGCAATGCAGAATGTACACAGCGCTAAGGGCGCACGTGAGCCATTTCAAATCCCGTTCGTCCGCGACATTAACAACCTGGTGGTACGAACGGCGCGGAATTTTCCTCATATAATATTTATTTATCTACGACCGTACGTCGTCCAACTGCGCATGCTCCAGGATTACGCACTTCTTTTTATCCGAAAGGATTTCAACATTCTCACATGCGGCCTGCCTTGTCATAATGTCGTGCAGGCAGTGATTACGCGCGTGTGTAGCTTTGTACTCTCGCACTCATGGATCAGTCCAGAGAAGATGCCCTTCGTCGTCGAAGAGAGAGGGAAAGAGAACGTCATTCCCGTGAGACTCCTGAGCAGAGAGAGGCTCGTCTGTAGTATCAGCGTCGCTTTGCTCACCGTTCTGCCGACGTACAGTACGCGTGTAACGGCGACAGGTGGATCTGTCTTGCTTCACGAGAAAGCTGTGCGGTGACGGCGTTATGCAGCCCAAACATCGCAGGCAAATCCCAAGTTGGGTCACTCCCGCTCGCCAACAATGTTTAACATTTCCACTAGTATATAGTTGCACGGCTGAAACCGTACCCGGTGCGGTTCGGCACGGTAGAGGTTACGGTGTGAGCCAACCGTATATACTGTACCGATCCGCGCCGGGTACGGTTTATTGAACCGTGCGGCACAGTAAGGTTTGGGGTACGTACACTTTCTGAGCATGCGCAAACAACGCATGTCAAAGCAGGGATGAGCGTTCTCGTGTGACGGTCGAGCGGCCGATGGCGGTTTCGTGGAGCAATGACGAGGTTCTGAGGTTAATCCATGCTTGGGGTGACAGTGCTATCCAGGCTCAGCTTGAAGGATGTAAGTGAAACCAAGATGTGCATGACAAAATCGCGTCTGAACTTCTCATACATTTGAGATTGAGGCCCACTCCACTGTATCTACACATCTTGTGTCACCAGAGTTTCCTTCCAAGATTTCAATCCGCCAACACCCTACCGGTCCACCCCCTCAATACATCTGACAATCTGCCTGTAGTTGCCTCAATCCAGCCCTACTGTTCACAGCCAGTACCCGCAGATCCAGAAGTACACCACAGGCCTGTATTTACCCCCAGAAACTGGTCCCATATTTCCAAACAAACATACACTCTCTTTACACGCAACCTCTCCACCAACATCTGCTCAGCATTCACCACCCTCCAGAGTCTGAACTATCTCACCAACCAAGTTTAATCGACCAACACCTATCTGCTTTGACTGACCTACTTCTTGTCACCTAGAAGATAATACCTCCTAAGGTTTAACAGCACTTCAAGAAACCTGGATAGGGTCCCATACAGAAAGCTGCCAAGAGATCGAGCAAGGAACTCTACCACCTATGGATGAATGCTGGCAAACCCCTCGACCCCACTCATCCTGCCCGAGCAGCTTATAAGGCCGCAGAGGGACTACAGATAGCAGATACGACTCCAGAAGGAACTCCCTGATGATGATTTATATAATTTCGTTCATCAAGAACTGGATCCCTGCCGTTTTTTCCAAGCCATTCGCAATCATACCTCTCCATCAACACTCCAACCACCAACCAACCGCTTCTCAGTTAATGGACCATATTCGAAGGCTGGACAATCCTTGAGGGCTGGACACCGTATTTTCAGAACTTAGGTGCATCTTCTATCCCACCTGTGGAAGACCTAGCCTGCCGCTTAGAAATCTTTCAATTTTTCTGAGTCCCTGATGATGAACCAGACTTGATCTGTGCAGAAGAAGTGGGAACGATAATATCCTCTTTTGGCCCTGATTACCTCAGTAACGAACATCTGATATTCTCACACCCCCTAACTGCCAACATTCTAGAAATAGTTTTCGATTCAATCCTGATCTCAGGTCACATTCCACATTAATTTACTCGGTTTAAGAAGATGATGATGATGAACAAAACTCCCTATCACATGTAAGGTGCTAGGTACGATGCCCATCCCTAATGTACTACTGTACTTAGTGATATACATTGCCTGAGGGCAGTTGTTCTTGTTTGCTGGTTTTGTGTTTTGATGATTATATTAGGTGTAGATACAAACTACAGGTCTTACCATTATCACAACACATGTGTGCCCCAGCATAAGGTTATTTGTCTTATACTAGATCACCTCTATTGTGCTAATAATGATTATGTGCATCCATTAGTACGTAACAAAGGATGTTTTTCAGCAACAGGACTATTCCCTGCATACAGTAAACTGTTCACAGTCAATAATATGTGATCAACAAACTAGGTAGCATTACTTACACAAATAGTGCAATATAATATACTTCACTTCAAGCAAGCTTTTATTTTTTGGTCTAGCTGTTGTATGGTGAAGTCATTTTGGGTGTAAACTCCAGTTTCAAGAAGAATATCTCTTTCTTCAATCCAACGAGCAACATCTGGATTAGCAGTGTCCTCAGCCTCAGTCACTTTAGAAGGGCATTCATCATTGAATGTTTCCTTTTGGACCCTAAGGATAAGACATAAAAGGGTCTCTTCTTCACTTAATTTTGGTAACTACAAACTGCACAACATTCCCTCAAGGATTGTATGGGTTTTGATCAAACTCGTCTGCATTTCTTTACCTTTCCTAACCTCGGATATGTAAATATTGTAGCATGATAGCTGAGCCCCGAAAAAAGTGTTTATGTAAACTGTTGTGTGTTTCAAATACCTCATTTAGTTTATGTAGGATATCATTGCGAGGATTTTAATGGCGTTAGTGTTATTGCAACTAGTTAGCGGGTTATGACAAATTCTAACTACAAAATTCGCAACACAATCGTACATTCCTTTAAGTGCTTAAATTGGGTAACACACCTGGGTGTTGGCATTTTTCTCAAACATATTATAATAGTCTAACGGCATTTACCTAGGCCCCGATAGTGATTTTGTAAACTGTTACAGGTACATATATACAACATATTTAGTAAATGAGCAATATAATCAAAATGTAGAAAAATTGCAGATTCTAATGGTGTTAGTAATTTTACCAAGTTATGACACCGAGAAAATGTATTTTGCCGACTTCGAGTCGTAGAACACTCTTTAAGAAAACGGTGTCGTGGGTTTGAGTGCACCATAGGGCAGCTTGTTTTTTGAAATTGAAATTCACTTGTGTTTATACCCCCAGATTCATGTTGGGAGTAGAAACAAATGATGATGGTGTCGATTGACTTAAAAGGTTCCGGACGAGTTCACATCAGAAAGAATGTTACTGAGTATAATGGAGGCGAACCATTCGCTCCCAGTAAAGTCATGCACTGGACCCACAGAGAATGTATGGAGGAGATATATGAATGCTAGTAGAATGTTAAACATTGTTGGCGAGCGGGAGCTACTCAACTGGGGTAGGGCTGAGCACAAGAACCTGTGTTGCTTCAGCCTCTTCAAGAGTTTCAGAAGCTAGACTCCGCCTCCGGTCCTGCGCTCGGCGTCGGGACAAGCGCATTTCCTGCTCTTCATCTGACCTGGAGGCTACACATTGCCTCCTGTGAAGTCCAGTCCTGCACTCGACGTTGGGACAAGCGCGTCTCTCACTCTTCAGCTGTTTCGGATGCTAGACGTTGGCTTCTGCGGGCTATGCCTCTCGGTACCTCGCTTGCATCTGCGCAACGATTTCTAGCTCTCTCGTGGTACAGCAGTGTTAGTATTTCCCGGCGTCTGGTGGTCTGGCGGAGACTTACTTTGCTCTGCAGGTAGTAGTGAGGGACCCCTCAGCATCCATGTCGAACTGTGACAACTAGGATCACAACACGTAAAATTTTTTTGGAAGCGTGTATATTTTGAAATCATTTCGGATAACGCAAAAAAGAGACAAAGCTAATCCACAGACCATCCCACAGACCAACGTTTCGACAAAACAAGTGTTCCGTCATGTCGGCAGTGTTGGTGTAGTTCAGCTGCTGACCTAGGTCACGACCTATCGACTCTATTGTGGAGCATCAGAACACCAACCACCAAGTATCTCATACAACGATGGGGGCAAAGTCAACTTCAGCCAAATGGCAGGCAGGAAACTTATTAATTGTGTTACACATAATTATTTAGAACTACGCAAAGCATTACGGTCGGTACAGCGCCCTACCGCTAGTTAAAAAGAAACAAATATATATCACTAAGTACGGTAGTACGTAGTATATTGGGATGGGCATGGTACCTAGCATCATGTATGGGGTATGATAGGGAGTGTTGTTCATCTTCTTCTTCTTCAGATTGAACTAGCCTAACTCAAAAACGAAATAACATATAGTAATGAAACCTTGTAAGATATCCGTCACCAGAAGAGACTGGCCATACTTATTTGTTTGTAAACAACACTGTTTATTGCGAACAACAACAACTAGCCCCAGGCAATACAATATAATGGGTCACATGTGTCCGTATAACTCACAAATGGTAAGAGCTATGTGAACGAACGACATAATGTATTCAATCACCAACATCAATATAACAACAATACATGTTTGTAAACAACAACACAGAGCCTTAGGCACTATTTTAATTGACTTCTTCACATATGCCTATTATATCATTTCCATGACGATTACGTATTTCCATGACGACCGCATAATGTTTGAAAAAGCGTCTTTTCTTTAAAACTACTTCTTCACTCCTTGAACTAGCCAAATGTAGCACGCATGGAGGTGAACTTGGTACACATGCATAATACATCGTTTCCACGACACCCACCACAACAAACAGCATTTTTCTTTAAAATTGCTTCTTCACTCCTCAAACTTGCTAACTGTAGCACGCATGGAGGTAAAACTTAGTGCTCATGTGTATTTTTTCAATGACAACCACTTTGTCTGAACAACATCAATGGAAATTTTCTTAAAAATTACTTCTTAACACACTTCTCCTCAAACTTGCTAACAGTTGCATGCATGGAGATGAAACTTGGTATGCATGTATGTTACGTTTCCATGACAACTTCATGTTTCCCTGACAACCACATATTGTTTGAACAACATCAAATAGCTTCAGGCACTCTTCACTCCTAAAACTTGCTAACGGTAGCCTTCATGGAGATGAAACTAGGTACGAATGTGATGACATCGTTTCCATGACAACCATGGGCATTTACTTCTTTCACTCCTCAAACTTGCTAATGGCAGCACACATGGAGATGAAACTTGGTATGCATGTGTATTACATCATTTCCATGATGACAACAGTCATTAACCCTCGGCGCGCATGCGCAGCGAGGGTTACAGTAGTTGGGTCTGTCTGTCTGTGTGTCTGTTAGTCCACATCTCACTTCTCGATTGTTTGTTCGTCTCACAAACCATACGACCTACTCAACGGGCAACGAAGGTCAGAAAATTTGTGGGGTTTTCTCTGAAAATGCTCCGTTGCAAAGCTAGAGCGCGAAAAAGCCAATATGCAAATACGCAACGGACGGGAAGGCTTACCGCGGTCTGATCGATCCGCGTGCTCTGCATATATACCTCGACCAGAAGATGCAACGCAGGGCGTGTATCGCCTCTCGCATGCTATCTAGTAGTGTAGTTAGCCCACGTCAGACTCTGCGCGAGCTGGCAAGAGACCACGAGTAACAGCTAAAACTAAACCCAGCCCAGCCATTAGTGATACAGCGCATGCGTTTACTCACGCGTGCTCGTCACAATGCACCGAGGGTTTGCACTTCAGTGCTTTTCATTTGTGTCTATTATTAATTTTATAGAGGGCTCGCACCCTTTTACAGAAATAATGAGTGGAAACAAGTAGATTAACTCATTGCGTGCGGCGGATCTATATATAGATTCGTTACGCGGATGTTAGCCAACGCGATCGGCATAATTATATATAGATGCGCAGGAACACTCACTACTCTCTTCGTCCTAGTTGCCGTCGCTACTCGCTGGCACAGCCTAGACCTTGCTACACCTTTGACCTTTGAGTGGGCGCACAGTTTGCGCATGTACAAAATAAAAGGCGGGGCTGGTGTGCGCAGCAGCTGCCACACCTTCCGCGCGTATAATACGCATCTAAGAGCGATGAATGCAGATCTGCCATGGAAACGTGGCCTCGCTGCGGCTCTAAGATGACACTAGGCTTTCTAACAGACGAAGAACGAATCTGGGCTTCGTCTGCGGGCCTACACCAAGTATAAACACGCAAACAAAACGGCATGCGCGAACTCGAAAAAACCACGCGGAAGCGGTAATTCAACGCATGCGCATTAACGCGCGCAATGAGTTAAAACTCCTGCGAATTAAAAAAAAAGAGGCATATAGAGAAAGAAAGGGAGACGAGATAGGGATGGGATACATGAAGCATGGTTAATGAACAGATTTGAGTACGCTGACACCCCTAACCCCATCACACAATCCCTATTGTTACCTACGTGAAGTATTAAACATTCACCATTACAATACTTGAAACTTTGAGTAACCAACACCGTTATAGAAGGGAATGTGGCAGTAACTCTCTGAAGAAATGTTGCTAAAAACAACAGGGTCACTGTGAAAGAATGCTTGCTTTTAGTAACCTTTAGCCCTTATATAATGTCACATTCCCTATAAGAGTAGCACACTAGGCAACAACATAGGGATTGTGTGATGGGGTTGGGGGTGTCAGCGTGCTCAAATCTATATTTTTTTGCCAGTAACATTTTTCTCGGCGGAATAGTGGCTCAGCATCGTATTCCTAGCAGACTAGGTCTCAGAGTAATGCATGTATGTTGAAGAAGCTAGGCCGCTTGCAATGCTCACCAGTTACTTAGAAGCCATAGAAATCAATGCCTTCGATGAAGTATATTCACAGCACCCGCAACCGCCACTAAATGTTGCTGACGATAGTCAAGTATATTCCTGATATACCTGTGTTAATTACATTCCAGTTGGCGTATACCGGTCGGGCAGAGCGGAGCTTTGTTTAAAGCACCGGTGCTCAGCGACCTTGGGAGCTACAGACACTAGATTTGTCGCTGGTTTGTTTTTTGCTTCCATGGTGAGTTGTTTTCCAGGGTGTAGGCAATTTTTGCTTGCACAAACACTGACACTTAGCTGTCACTCGTGTGGCACACAATTCATTCTGTTTGAAAGCGGCGAAGCGGGATCTGTCGGAATAGGCAGCAGGACTGGCTTCGTGAAAATAAGGCCCGGGTTTTCTAGGCTAAAACTAGGTTAACCATGGTTTGGAAGGCATACGGGTCTATACCCTCGGTATATTCCGTATACCTTCCAAACTCATGGGTTGCTACCTAAAGGCAAAGTAGACATGAGATGTACAACGCAGATGGGAGTAGATGAAAATACTGAGTGGTGCTCGGTGAGTGGTCACTTGTGTTTGCACTGTGTGTGTTCCATTTCTAGCAGCAATACTGTTCGGCAAACTGCCTGTACGTACAGGACTGTCGCCTTTCCTGGTGTTTGACTTATGGGTGATGTAGAGCAATTTTGTTGTTGAAAACAGTCAAAAGTGCAAAAAAACAAGGCCAGGTTTTTGCTCATATTACATACACATGGACTAGGAGCAGTAACCAGGTGTACCATGCACTCTGTAGTTTGGTCCCCCACAAAATGATAAAACTACAGAGTAGGGGTTATAAAATGCAAATCTCAAAAAGAGAACAAAACAAACTCTTCTGGCAAACCACTTACTCCAAGTCAAAAAAGATGGTGCAGTACGTTGTAGAGGTAGCAATCTTCATTGAGTTTGAGTTATTCAGAAGTGAGTCGGTGTAAAGGTTATGTCCACAACCAATTGTTGTGTACAACATACAATAATCGTATACCGATGAAACACTTGTTGTGTATACTACCTCAACAATGTGTTACTACTTAAAAATTATAATTACCTGCTAACTTCTTCTTTCACTTGAGTAAGGTCTTTACGTATTATTTTCTGCTCTTCACTATGGATCTTCACACTTTCCAGTTCCTGTTGCTGTCTTTGTAGTATACTCTGAGCACTTTTCTAAAATGAAAACAACTGAAGTGTAAACCCTCGGCGAACTGCGCATGAGCTGTACTGCTAGTTGGAGGGCTGTGCTATTAGTATGTGTTCGTGGTATCCCGCTAGTAGCTAGCGGAGAGTCTGAAACGGGCTAGCTACAGCAGTAGATAGCATGCGGAAGTCGATACACACCCTTCGTTGTGACTTCTTGTGCCATCAAGATACACAGAGCAAGCATATCCGGTCGAGGTAAGCCTGTGCTAATTTCCACATTGGCTTGTTCACTTGGTATTCACGCCATAACTTTAGAATGCAGCAGTTTTATGAAAATCTCCTTTTAGTGTAGCACTGAACCGTGGCCGACTTATTGCACGTGGTGGCAGACAGACTAACAAAGTACTCTACCCCTCGCTGCGCTTGCGCACCAAGGGTTAGTGAAAAGCATAAAGTGCAAACCCTTTGCATACTATGTGCACGCTTTAGTACACACATGTGCGGTATCACTAATATTGATGTGCTGCGCTATATTTACTCCCAGTATGTACTAGTGGTTGCTTGCCAGCTCCCTGAGAGTCCTTTATGGGCGAGCTACACTACACAACTAGATAGCTTGCGAATAATCACCCTGCGTTTTAACTTCTCCATGGTACGCAGAGCAAGCAGGTCTATATAGGACTAAATTTAGAATTGTTACTAGAGATAGAACAAAACACAGGGAAAGAATGCAATTGAGTTCTGTCTTTAGTAAAATGTCTAGCCTCTTGCCACACTCCCTTTCAAATGAAGTCAGTGTAACGCTAAACCTATTGGTATCGATACTTTGTTGTTACGTTGCGCGTGGTTACAGAAAACATTGTAACAGACAGATGGACAGAAAGACACAGAAAGTAACTAACGAAATATATGTAGTTGTATAAGACGTTAAATTCGACATACTGGTGTTAGCGAGGTTCTTTATTAGCTTAAAAGAGCAGTAGCCTTGAACAGATTCAGAACGTTTCGGTCCGTGGGCCTTCTTCAGCTGAATTGCCAAATGCACACATGCACAGAAAAAAATAGGTGGTGAAACACGAAAGAGGACATAGCGCTGAACCTTTTGGTATCGCTCTTTTGTTGTCTCGTTGTGTGTGATGGCAGAAAACGTGGTAACAGGCGGATGGACAGACAGACAGACTGACGGACACACACACTTACGAACCAAATACCGTAACCCTGCGTATGCGTGCCAAGCGTCAACTATGTGGTTAGTTAGACATGTAACATCACAGAAATAAGTAGGTGGTTAAACTTCGACATAACAAATACAGAAAGAATAGATGGTCAGACAAGACACGACAACATAATGTGGCTGGCCAAAGTGTTCATAAAAATGGTATCCAGTAAGGGCTCAGCATCAAACCACAATCCACGTTTGTAGTTTCTCCATGCTTTTGTTCTTCTCCATGCCACGTTCGTTGTGTCTCCTTATCTCAATTGCTTCTAATGTTCTTCTCCTCCAGTATACTACAGACTCCTGTCTCAGCACTGTTGGATTATCCCAGTCCACTCTGTGACCATGTTCCCATGTGTGTACTGCAATTGCATTCATCTTTGACAGCGGCCCTGTGTCCCGGCTCCTTCTAGTCTCACAAATGTATACCTTATGGCAGTCCATGCATGGAACCCATACACTACTCCTTTCTTCAGCAGTAGTGGTCCTTGATAGGGGTCCTTCCTGACTTGAACACTGCCCTCACTCCTACTTGAGCGCAGACCCGCGTTGAATGCGCTCTGATACATGTCATACATATGGGAGGCAGAGTATCGTACCACAACCCCCGAATCAAGACGGGGGTCATTAAAAAACAGAGCAGAGAAAGTTTGTGACCAAGAACAGATCAAGGTTGAGATATCACATCTGACGACAGCCTTTGTGGGTAATGACTATACCCATACAGTCTGGTGCGTAAGGTATTGCATCAACAGAAAAAAAAACCGTACAGAACACGGTGAAAACACTGACAATGACAGAGAGTGAACTAAACTTATCTAGAAGACAGCTATCTACTTTTAAGCATCAAAACCCCCTCGCCAAGGCTGTGGCAGCACCTCAAAGTAGGATACGTTGATCTCCAAGCTGCTCACGTGAACGAGAGCTGTAAATGGGAATAACGTGGAGAAGTTAAAAAAGCAAGTGCCCAACAAAGAGCTGGAGTTACCAATAATGCTAAAAGCTTACTTGCTGTCTTAGTTTCACAATCGTGCGTGCGGCTTCAGGTAAGGACATAAAAAATTTGTTCCATCCAAATGCCTGACTCCAGGGTACAAAAGCAGCAATATGAATGAGCAAGGCAAAAGGGAAGACAGCACAAAATATATTTACCACTTTTACGCATGGAAGGGCAAAATATTGCTGGAAAGGAACAGACAGTCCAAACGAAATTTCACCATAGGTATAACAAGACACAACAGTGCACGCAGAAATGTAGTATAAGTCAGATTAGAGATTTCGACGGACACATGCAAGCAACTAAGTTTTAAAGCTAACCAGTTCATTGTGTCGATATGCAGCAAGCTCTTTCATTGCTTGGGTCCACTGGTCCTTGTAGTGTTTCTTTGCTCTAAGGGCTGTAGATAGTTTCTTCTCGAGTTCAGTCTATAATAAGGCAAGTAATGATTAACCACACAGAAAAGTCCAGTGTGTAGTGCAAACGGTACATGTAAAATGTTCACTCAATGGCCATTTTGCAGTAAACAGTTTTCCATCCAAAATGGATATTTGAAAGTTCTAACACTGATGAGCTATGGCAGCATCATGCAATATGTTCATATTTGATAAGCAAATTCAGCATACATCTTTAACTATACTGAACACACTGCTATAACTAACTTCTCCCCGTCTATAGACCTGCGCCTCATTTTATTAACTTGTTCCACTTGGGTGCAAATCTCTGCTGACACAGTGAAGGTGTCAGCGTTAGTAGAAGAGCATTATAATGACTCAGCTTGATGATTATCAAAGACCCAAACTGGAATACCAGCTCTAGGTGTAAGTAATAGGTTAATGTACGGAAGTCAGTGCCGTGCGCGTAATAATGGTACGAGGGGCGTGGTCGAGATAGTCATACAGCACGAGGCGCAGCCGAGTTGCTGTATGATCTATCGAGACCACGTTCCGAGTACCATTATCACGCGCACAGCACGTGCTTCCGTACATTAAGTAATTTATTGTATGCGTGGGCGATTCAAAAGGCGGCGACCAGGAAAACCGGCGTTCAGAACGGAAGAGAGGACGAGAAGCTCGCGGAGCGCCCTTCCAGCAGCGGTTTGTGTCACTGTCTGAGTCGAACTCCGTCCACGAAAGGCCGCCGAGGGCGTCATTCCCGCAAAGCGTACGCTAGTCCGCGGATATAGTTCAAAAGGCGGCGGCCAGGAAAATCTTTTTTTTGCAAGTTCAGAAGGACTAGAAGCTCGCGGAGCGCCCTTCCAGCAGCTGTTTGTGTCACCGTCTGAGTCGACCTCCGTCTACGAAAGGCCGCCGAGGCGTCATTCCCGCAAAGCGTATATACGCTAGTCCGCGGATATAGCACAGTTCGTGTGATATAGTACAGTTCCGCGCGATATAGTACAGTTCATTCAAAAACCGTTCTGTATGATGAATATTATAGTACTGGCGGCGCCTTTGATTCGCCCACGCAAAATACAATTAGGCTTTGTATTGTCTCTTTGGTGCAAAGTACACCAAGATCTATGGTGATCCGGAAAAGTGACTTATTCTGCAAGTCACAATACTACTGATATGAGTGACTTTAGCAAATGACTTTTTATGAGGGAGGTGAGTGGGAATGTTCGCATGCCTTTTGTCAGAATACTCATCACAGCACCATATATCTAACAGCTACAATTATGTGGCAGTACACATAAGCCTAATTTACTGAAGTGGAACTAAATACAAGGGCCTTGCAAGAACGCCAATCATTATTTTCTAGTGAGGGTGACATGACCTTTGACGTTTATAAAATCAACACAAATTTAAAGACTTCCTTCACAAGTTTTCTGGTAGCTTTGTAGAAAAAAACATCCTAAAATCGTGATAAGCAACCTCCTACATTTTCCTTGTGGTTGCGGTCGAATGTAGGCACAGTCTTACATGATGTCTCGGAAGGAACCAGGCGAGCCATCGCTGATCTATCAATCTGTCTAGGGAAACATAAGCCATGCACACATCATACGGTAAAGTACCTAATAACTGCAGTGATTCCCCTGCCGGTCGCCATTATCGCCATTTGCGAGTAAAACCTACGTTTTGGCGATAACGCTGGGCGACGGTTCGCCAACTTGGCGACTCAGCGCAGAGTTCACACCGTTATTGAATTGCACATGCGCAAACTGTATGTGAACTTCGAACTTTGGACACGTGTACGTGTATATACGCCATGGACGCTGAAAGTTCGACGCTACTAAACATGCTTTCCTTTTTCCATTTGTATAATGTATGTTTTCAGGAATGGTGTTTTTGGCTACAATAAAAAGTGATTGGCTACAACTTTTTTTGGCTAGGGGAACCCCTGTAACTGGTCACCCAGGATTGGGAGTGACAAGAATGGACAAAGAAGGGAGGGAAAGCATGTCTTTAGTGAAGCACACAAACCCTGATCTAGTATTTAGTATTTTAGGTGCAAAGGTTGCTGCTTGCATCTTACACCCTACTCTCTGCCAGTAGCATAGACCAACATAACCATGTACTACAGTGTAGACCACACATCATCTACTACTATAAAAGCATATCAACAGGCTCTGTGCTTTCCACTAGGGCTCAAGTAGAGCATTATGCAAACAGTGATAATGGAAATGTATAGGTTAACCAATGGGTTTTGAGGGGGAACATACCCGAGATGCTTATCAGTACCGCACGAGTGTGGAGCCCGAGGGCGGTGCAGATAAGCACGGAGGGTATAGACCCGTATGCCTTCCAAACCATGGGTTAACCTATTTGTAGCCGAGAAACCTGGGACAGTAGTCGAAATCCTCAAACTCTTTCAAAGATCCATAATTTCTGTGTATACAAGTAAACTAGAGGTAGATATATTATATCAATGGTATAATAAACACGGAGATGACCTAGTATATTTGATGCAGTGGTACAATGGATATTTAAAACTGACATCGCTCGTTTGCCATGCAAATACGTCTGTATAGTATACAGACGCTGCAAACCATGGCACTTCCCCAGCTAAAATGTGCCCTGCAGAGTTCATGTAGTGTACACACCGAAGCGAAGCCAAAACAATGGCACCCAAAAACAGTACAAAGATATGTTTAAAAAGCTTCAGCAGCATGAGGCTACCTGCACTCGCACAAAGACGACCGAGCCAGCGAGGAACAGCCAGTGGGAAGAATGCTGGCGCCCCAGTTAAATCCAATGCTCAACATGAAACACGCCAAACACACTGGGGCACTGGCACTCTTCGCGGCTAGCACTGTCGTCTTTTTGTGCTGCATGCAGGTAGCAACGCCCTGAAAATAAACTGCAACGCTTTTTACATTCCAGTTGAAAACCTGTGCTTGTCTACATAAATAACTCGAATGTGGTCAGATTGTGGTACAGATGACTGCACAATAGCTACCACACAGTGCACATCCACCAATGCATGTGAGTAGATATTAATTGAGAACAGACATTAGCTACGTACCTCCATCTCACTTATACAGCCTCACACAGCAAACACTACTAACTAAAACGCTCCCTTCACAGAGAACGTTTCTGCTATATACCAAGGAACTCCTTCCACACAGTTGCTAACCTAAGCGAAAGTAACCAAAACGTGGCAGTGTGAACATGCCATGTTGGTGAGGAAACGAGCACAGAGCAGTGCTACTTATACAATGTAGCTCTATTCTTCTGCTACAGACTGGTGTAAGCTACTTGTAGACAAATTATGCTGCGCAGGTCGTGATTGGACCTCTCACATGCAGCAAGCTGTGTAGAATAGACGCAACTGTAATTTCGAACTTGGTATATCAAGACTCCATGCATAGGTCTATTGAACTGCTGTAGAGTTTCTTGCTTGATTTTTTTTAGTTTCACGAAGACTGAGAAATTTACCAGAAGTCTGATCGCCATTAAAAGTTCATGCACCCATGTTGGAGTTTTTAAACATGCAATTGGTGGATAAACACTGAGCATTTTTTACGGAGAAAACCCATAAGTTTATGGGCTTTAGATTCTCCCGGTACACTGGTGCAGTTCAAATTCAAACTTTTCTGCATTTTCAATGAAGTAAAGCCGAAAAACAACAGGCAAAAGCGTCACCAACCGGTTGCTAGGTATGCTGCTTCTCTTAGCGACCACTCACTACTGCTGACAAAGGAATAAAACTCGCTCCCAATCTCTGATAACACCACACAGGAGCTGCTTTTTTCTCTGACTCTGCAGTGCCCATGCTCTCTTGTAGAATGACAGTGCTCGTAGTTTCTTGCTTCAAGAGGCATGGCTGCGATTCTGTGACTATTTGGCTTTATGTGCCAGTCTGAGCAAGAGCTGTGGACAATATTTTTCTGCAAGAAAGTGAGAACAGGGAGGACCACATGGTTGTCTGTATCAGTAGTGTGTCTAGGTCAGGCATAATCAAATAGTGACAACGGTGAGTATCACGTGGTTCTCGGTGTCAGTCGCTATTTTGTCGGGAGACTTCGCACACGGCCATGGAGTGCCCCCAACGGAAAGCAAACTCCTCCCATACCCTGCCTCGCCCCCAAGACCAGCCACCTCTGGAGACCACCTTTCGTCCCCCCACGGGGAGGCGTTGAGGTTGAACATCGGAATGACTGTTGCCTCAATACCCCATGATAATTGCCAGCTCACGTCTAACCCTGGGTATGTCTACCCACACACCGCCAACTTGGTGTAGTTGAACCACTGCACTGAGCTGAACCCTGTGACCTTACTCACACAGACTCAACACATCACCACGCCACTCGTTGTCGTGCAATGGGAATCACTACTACAGGACCACCCGGACAGACTCTTGGCACATAAAATTGTAACCGGCATCAGGGAGGGCTTCTGAGTGGGCTTCAGGAGGGACCACAAGTACAAGAGAGCTTCCGGCAACATGAGGTCAGCTATAGCAAACCCGAAACCGGTGGCCGACTTTATCCAAGCTGACGTGCAAGCCGGCAGAGTCATCAGCCCCCTCCAAGATATACGGGAAGTCCACGTGAGTAGGTTCAGAGTGATCCCCAAACAAGGACAACCAGGGAAGTGGAGGCTCATCATTGACCTTTCGAGCGAACATGGCTTCAGTGTGAATGACGGTATCGCACCAGAGTTGTGCTCGATCAGGTATGCGATGGTGGACAGCGTGGTTCAGAAAATTCTGCATCTGGGAAAGAACACATTACTGGCGAAAATCGATATAGAACACGCCTATAGGAACATACTAATACATCCAGACGATCGGCACCTACTCGGCATGTACTGGGAGGGAGCCTTGTATATTGAAAGTGTATATATTACCCTTTCGGCTCAGATCAGCTCCCAAAATATTTTCAGCAGTTACGGACACCTTGGATAGCTCATACTCTTACACTACTTAGACGATTTCTCAACGGTGGGAGCAGAGCACACACTCGAGTGCCAGCTCAATCTCGAGAAACTGGAATCGAAAATCTGTGTCGTCCACTGGGAATGCCCCTAAAGTAGCAGAAGCTGGAGGGGCCTGCCACCACATTGGTGTTCTTGGGGATTTGCTGGACACTCAGAAAATGGAGATGAGCCTGCCAGTGGAGAAGTTGCGGGAGCTGAAACTGTTAATTGCAAGTTGGATGTCAAGTAAGTCGGGGGAAAACGGGACCTCCTGTCACTAATTGGTAAGCTCTCGCATGCAACCAAAATTATCATCCCTGGTCAGATCTTCTTGAGGCGGATGATAGACGGGGCTCACAGTGTGAAGCATTTGGATCACTGGGTCCACCCCAGGCCTTCAAATCGGACCTAGCATGGTGGCAGACATTGATTACCTCATGGAACGGTCGGGGCATGATGCAGTGTGGCTACCAACGAGACCCCCAGGTTCACCTTCAGCACAGATGCTTCCGGGACATGGGGCTGTGGCGCCTGTTGGGGGGACAGGTGGATACAAGGTTCGTGGGACGGCATGTGGCAAGAAACGAACATTGCCACCAAGGAGCTCTTACCTATTCTGGTGGCGGTAGCAATGTGGGGAGTGTTCTGGCAGGGTATTATGTTCTGGTGCAATGTGACAACATGGCAGTTGTGCACATCATCGTGGCGAACTACAACAAAGACACAACAGTAATGCATTTGCTGCGGGGATTGCATTTTTGTCTCGGCATTCTATAATATTAACCTGAGGGCGGTGCATATCGCAACATATGTGTGTGCGGACCCAACCACACTGGAAATCAGAGAGTTGGAGAGGACTGCTAGCCGCCTTATAAGTATAGCATCGCATATAACACAAGAAGATCGTACGCTACCGGCCAGTCCACCTATATCTCCTTCTGCAAGAAATTGAGCCTCGAACCTCTCCCAGTCTCCGAGCAACAATTGATTTTATTTTCTGCCGACTTGTCGCAACAGTTATAGTCTTCAACTGTTTGATCATATCTGTCAGCAGTAAGATTCGTTAATTTTTCAAGTGGGCATGGAGACACGTTAACGGGTAGACTCCAACTGGACCTATTATTGCGGGGAGTCAGGAAAAGCAAACCGGCCAGCAAAGACAACCGCCTCCTGGTTACACCGTTGATACTGGAGAAAATGTATGAGTTTCTGAACAGAAACCCTAGCAACTACGAGAACAATGTTGTCTTGGATTCTTTGGCTTTCTTCGTTCGGGCGAGTTCACATCTCCAACTAGAGAGTATGACCCATCATGGGATCTGTCAGTACAGGATATATCTGTGGACTCGACCACCAATCCTACCAGGCTGCAGATAACTATCAAGGGATCAAAAATTGACCAACTGACCAAGGTGTGAACATCGTGGTCGGCAGGACCAGCTCTCATATATATCTGTCCGGTAAGGTCATTCTGGTGTATGTGGCTTGCAGAGGCTTTGGACACGGGCCCCCATTCCAACATAAGGATAGTTCCCCACTTATCAGAGAGCAGTTAGTGAGCGGCATGAGAGAAACTCTGTGGAGTACCACATACTCTCGGGTCATTCGTTCAGGATAGGGGCAGCCACAACGCTGGTGACTAGGGGTGTGGCAGATTCCACCAGACAAACCTTTGGATGGTGGAAGAGGGAGTCATTCAAGCGCTACATCAGAATACCAAAGTCAGCGCTGGCGTCATACTCAAGAAAACTGATTTCATGACTATGTCACTATTGATTCGTCATCCCGGTTGGTTGCACTCTGGTTACACATACATTCTTTTGGTCACATTTCTACATAATATTACCAGAGGGTGGTTGAGGGGAGGTGCAGACTAATGTAGCAGTGTCATTAGGGGGTAAGGGGGCTAGGGCTGTATGATACAATGTGGGGGACTTGGGGGTTCCCCAGCATCACATCAGTGAAGTTTACAGATGGCAGGGTTATGGGGAAGAAATGAGCTGGTCATACCCCTCCTTTTAGGGTTTGGCGGCAAGGGAGTGGTGTAGCTACCCCCCTTTAATGTAGTGGCGGCAAGGAAATCAGAAGATGCCTTCAATTATGGGGCGGGAGGGGTTATCAGTGGATGCCGACACAGCCCCGCCATCACGTACCAAATATAACTACAAATAGTGGTAGTGCTGTGAGGGGGTTTAATCACTTTCAAGCGGGAAACTTGCCATCATACCCCGTAGTGCTGGAAGAGCTAGGTTACAGACAAACACAGAGAAAGACAGACAAAGTACATACTGTAACCCTTGCTGCATATGAGTGCCCGAGGGTTAACAAGGGGTGAAGTTATTTTCGACATACTTGGACGGAAAATGGACACAGTTGAACATTATCATTGTTCGACATTGACACACGCAAACAGGATCGCACTGTTTAGAACACTTGCTTAATTCCCACTGCCCCCAACATTTTTGCTTATGCACTTGAATAGATTCTAAAGCCTGCGTATAACACAAATGCATAATAATTATGTAGTTGGTGGATCTTAGAAAAATTATGCTACTCCAATGATGTCATGCACTCTGCTCTTGAACTTTCAGTTGTAACCCCCAACAATTTAGGAGAATATTTTTACTTATTGTTGCTGGCATCAGTGTATCTGAAGTGCAAGAACCGTGCAACAACCTGCTGCATGCAGTGTCATGGTGTGCCATGGCAATGCAACAGATATGGCATAGTAGTACCTTCTCAATGTGGACCATGATTAGCTCAGCCTGTAATCTCGATTCTGGTTTACTGATAACTTTTTGCTTATACTCATCAAACTCAGCATCCTTCGATGTTAATCTTGCAGACAACTCAGAAACCTGTAAAGTGCATGTTTTAACTACGTGTAGAAAGGCAAGGGCACAGCAAACAAGTCACCTGCACCTATGGTCACTTCTAGGTGGTTATAGGAAAACTGCCATTTCGAAAATTAGAATGCTGAGGCCGTTTCTATCAATTATTGGCCGCGTGGCCTGGGATGCCACAATATCGGCACGGACAGAGAAGGGGACATAAATATGGACACATAAACAAACTGTTATAACCCTCGCTGCACGTGCACATAATAATCTACACACATCAAAAGTATTTCCCAACTTTAAGCACAGGCTGTAGTATGTGCATCACATTTTTGCATATTATCCTGTGGTCTGTAAAAATGAGAAGAGGATAGGATGGAAATGGGCATTCCGGGGATCTCAGCTTAAAAAAGCTGCTAGTAATGAAAGTATGGCGTATTTGTGTAGTCACACCTTTAACCACACAACCAGAATATCGAATTGAGCCTGAAATAAATATAAAAGATGGTGGCAAGTCCTTGTAAAACCTTCACTTTATTGGATGTGGAATGAAAATTTAATGTCATTGGTTTCTTGGGTTTATACAGAAGACATGTCCACACAGATATGTTTGCATGTTCACGTGTGTAAGGGTAAGTTTTGATTACCACGCATTATGTTGTATAAACCAGAGGGACATGAATTTGAATTTACACAGACACAACCAAAGCATAGGTAAAATAAATAGAAACAGGAGCATCCTTAGTTAACCCATCTCACTTCTCGAGTGTTCGTTCGTCTCACAAAGAATACCACCTACTTAACGGGCAATGAAGGTCAGAATCTTTGAACGGTTTTCTCTGAACACGCTCCGTTGCAAAGCTAGAGCGCTTCCACCATTGTACGGCTAATGCGTAGTCGGCCATTTTATCGCTGCGGAAAATGCGCATGCGCTTATTAACCTCGACCGTGTCCGCTTGCTCTGTGTATCATGAAGGCACAATAAGTCACAACGAAGGGCGTGTATCGACTCTCGCATGCTGTCTACTACTGTAGCTAGACTCTCTGCGAGCTACTCGCGGGAGACCACGGGTAAATGTATACTAATAGCTCAGCTCATCAATTAGCGGTACCGCACATGCGCAGTTCGCCGAGGGTTTACACTTTTACTTAGGGTCGGCTAGTTAGCTAGCTGAGCGGGTATCCCGACTGCACCAACCGTGGGTAATTATACTGATCCCTCCGCGCCTGTGTATGCTACACTGGCACGCACGTTTGTGATTCGCATGCGCAGATACTGAGTTCAGTGTGGCTTCATTCATCGTCGTCCCGTGGAAAGCTACCCGTATAATGGACAACTGTTAGCAAAGGTCTGGGTTATCGCAGATGAACGCTAGACTCGCACACATTCTACAGAGCCTTTTTTCCTTCAGCCCTTCAGAGCACGTGCGCACACGCACACATTAGCTAACAGCCCTTGTTCCCAGGTCAAACTTTGTTATCAGCTTTTCAGGATACTTCTGATACTTGAGCCATTCATTCGTGATGGTGATATTCTCAGTCCAGGAACCAAATCGTTGTCTGATTTCCGCGTGATCATGGCTGTGTTGTGTACTTGTGATTTGATGAAATGATGGTTTCTGTCGTTCTTTGATTTTCATGTTCCTAGCCTTTAGAACATGTTCACTGTTTATTCTCATTTCAGGCCTGCTTTATAAAGCCAGTCTGGGTCTTCTAAACATGTTCATTGGCCTAGAGTCACACAATCTGATTGTGACAAAAATATTGCTAGACTAAGCTATGGTGATAAACGCATACACATAGCCCAACCCACATGCGTAGTACCACACCGCCGAGGGTTTTGCACTTTAGTGCTTTTCATTTACTAGGTGGTTGGTCTACTTTACTACGAGGTCAACAATTAAGCAGTTTGCCGAGGGTTTGCACTTTAGTGCTTTTCATTGAAATTAGCATTGCAGAAACTGCCAATGTGTACAAACTTCAACCCCATGCGCATGTGCAGTCCTTTCAGCGTAATATTGGCGGGTACCCTTTTACATTAAGGTAGACTGACCTCTTGGTAAAAGTGAACCAATCTTCTTACCGTGCGTGCATACATGACAGCGTGCAATAACATCAGCGTTCAAAGACATTTAGGATGTATTACATGACTACTTTAGGCAGTGTCCTATATACCTGACTCTTAAGCCTCTCAACTGTCTTAAGCAACTCTTCAGTTTTTTCTCTGCATTTGACAAAAAACAACTGATCTATTCTGGCCACATAAGTATAAACCAAGCAAGGCAATAATAAAATATGCAGAAGTGCAGGTATGTGTTGGCAAAACAATGATTATTGCACTTACAGGCACCTGGGTCAAAAACGTGCATGTCTATAACGGTGAAAGCCACCTGGTATATACTTCAATTCCTATGTCCATGACTGCACAGAAACCTAAAAAGGTGCTTTCACATACGAAGTAACATAGCCTATGAAGTGGGGAGCTTACGCACCTGTTACATTTTTATTGACAAATGCGTACCTGTAAAGATTGCAATATAATGGGTGTAGAAAAATCACCGTTTGACATCTAATGCTTTCTGTAGGCCCGCTACAAGACAGCTATATTTCCTAAAGGGAAAACCTATGCCAGGCAAACCTTCAACGAAGGCACAAAAAAAACAAATATCTGTTAAAATTTCAAAAAGAAGCCGGCACTAACAATAAGTAGAGACATGTGGCTCATGCCCACCCTACCTAGTAGGTAGGGTGGGCTATCAATCTTCACATAGTGGCACGGGCCATGTACCTGCACTCATAGCGGTATCACTCCTACATATATAGGGAGCCATAGGTGACGTCAGTGGGGCCTCTCTGTGGCCTGGTGGCCGCTCTCTTCCACTACATCATGTTGGTCTTCTTTGCTGGAGTGCAGCTGATGCTGTCTTCCTCTACCAAACGTTGGCAGTAGTACTGTTGTACACTATGTCCGGAAGGCTGGACAGTTTGGTGTGAGTAAAATGAATCGCAATCTTCTTTATTGCAGTTGGACTGTCGCTGCTGCTGGGACTTGGCTGGGATTGGACTCACTGCCACCAGCTCCGACCTCTTAGTAAAAAAGGCGTAGCAACCATCTCCTGCTGTTCGAGCCAGCCGTCCGACCGGTCTGTACGCTACTTTGTACAGTGTAAGAGTGTGTGCTCTCCAGGAAAGGCCTAGGTGTTTGCTGTACATCGACTGCAGGGGCGGTTGCTTGGTGAGCTGCCGGTCAGTCCATTTCAACCGATCGACCTTGAGCTGGCTCACATGCTGCTGCTATTTGTGTATTTTTTGGCTGATGCATGGGTCATAAAATGACTTATGTTAGCCGGTATGTGTGGAAAATGGCTCTTGTGGAGCTTGACAGTGGTGCGAAAAAGATGCTCTGTAAAATGACCGTCTTTCTCTTTATCTGGCAAACATCAAATTTTGAACGCCCCCTTTTATACCTGGATTTAGCTCATTTGATATTTTAAACGCACACTGCATCTTTAAAACATTTTTCGACAGCACAGCCTAAAAGTCAGTGATTGGTGATTTTATTTTTCGCGGAATTTCTAGGTCTTGTTGTACAAACTCATTAGCATTCAAATTTTCATTTTCCTTACCCTTCTCTAAAACCAGTGTGCGGCTGGGAGCAACAGTTCTTCGTCATTTTAATTAATTAAGCGCAGTGGCTTTCACTACGACCTACGGTATGTGCAGACGTACCATATTTATTTGAATAAATGCCGCACCTCAAATGGTTGGCGCCCTCGTATAGACCGCCGCGCATGTAGCTCGGGATGAAATGTAACAGTAGCTGACCTCAAATAGTAACTGCATTTTGCGCATGTGAAAACTATGAGGTAGAAAGGCAAAGGCACAACAAACAAATCAACTACACCTAGGACAGCTCTTTTTTTCTTCTTTCTTTCATCCAAGGGAAAATAATGAGCTGCCCTAGGTGGGATTCGAACCCACGACACTCTGCAGTCTAGGCGAGCGCTCTACCAACTGAGCTACCAGGGCAACTCAGCTGGTAGGGGTTCGAATCTACAACGCAACACAACACAAGGCAAACCTCCAACCACTGTGCTATGGCACAGTAAACTCTCACTTAGCATGTAGGAGCAGACCGGGGTAATTAACCCATTGCGCGCGGCGGATCTATATATAGATTCGTTACGCGGATGTTAGCCAACGCGATCGGCATATATATAGATGCGTAGGAACACTCAATACTCTCTTCGTCCTAGTTGCCGTCGCTAGTCGCTGGCACAGCGAGACCTTGCTACACCTTTGACCTTTGAGTGGGCGCACAGTTTGCGCATGTACACAATAAAAGGCGGGGCTGGTGTGCGCAGCAGCTGCCCCACCTTCCGCACGTATAATACGCATCTAAGAGCGATGAATGCAGATCTGCAATGGAAACGTGGCCTCCCTGCGGCTCTAAGATGACACTAGGCTTTCTAACACACGAAGAACGAATCTGGGCTTCGTCTGCGGGCCTACACCAAGTATAAACACGCAAACAAAACGGCACGCACGAACTCGAAAAAACCACGCGGAAGCGGTAATTCCACGCATGCGCATTAACGCGCGCAATGAGTTAAACCACCAATGACGCCCAACTCCAAGCCAAGTATATGCATGTGAAAACTATGAAAGGCAAAGGCACAACAAACAAATCAACTACACCTAGGACAGCTCTTTTTTTTGCACAATATAAACACGTAGCGTTTAGCATCAATCGAGCGAAGGCAGAGAGAGGCAGCAGCAATCGACGCTGCCTCTATCAGATAGGGGGTTACCACATGGATTTATACACGTGATGACCCTGAATCATGGCTATACTATAAAAGATAGTAGGACCATATGGCAGCCGCCAGTCCTCATAACCCGAACCTCCTCGAACCACTTTGCTGCTAGGGCAGTTTCGGACGAAAAAAGACTTCGAGGCCTCATGACTCTACTTTCGCGCTCTTGGCTTGAAAGATGAAAATTAATGGGAAAATGGGAAAATTAAAGCCGCCTTCAAATAGACACTGCCCTCAAACAAATGCCGCGCCTACACCATGCTGAAATTTATAGTAGCCGTGGCGTCTGATCGAGGAAATATGGTCAAATAGGCATGGCCCCTGCATGAAAAAGGTAATGATAACGTATGCTCAGAGGGTGGCCACATTGTTTTTGCGTGGGCTACATGATTGCGCATTCTGTTCTGGAAAAAAACAACAGGTAAAACATATGCAATTCTTCAAGAAGTTTGAAGCATGAGAGGTCGTGCAAAAACACATTTCACAATTGGGTTGTAGCACAATGCAAAAACAATGAACATAGGCCATCACAAATGAACACGGGTGTTTGAAACAAAAAATGGTGAATATAGGGATGGTATAAAAGGCAAGGAGCACATCACTACGACAACTGGTGAACAATTTGCACATGAGCAGGAGGAAAAGCTGTATATGATTAACTAAGTATTGTTAGTACTCTTTCAACATGTTTAACTAAGCAAACAGTTCGCTATGTTAGCTGGCAGAATCAATTTCAATTACAGAGATGATTTTTCTTTTATAGAAAATAGCAGAATTGCGCTTTGAAATTAACCACACATACCTCTGAACTTCAAGTTTTCCTTCATACAAGAGTTGACACTGCATAACTTTAGCCTGACATTGTTTAGCAATGCTTTGTTCTTCGAAACTGAGCTTACGATACAGTTGCTGCAACTTTAAAGGAGACAAAGAACACAACTATATATGACATTGAATTGCAAGACTATCGGCAAAATTAAACATCCCCATGTATAAAGTACAGGACCAGAAGTGCAAACCATAACTGTAGCAATGTTACGGGTGAGTATTGGAACATGAGCAATATAGATCACGATAGTCAGGGACCACCAATTAATGTGCTGGGTGACGCTGACGCTATGTTAATGTGGTCTCTCACTAGCTTCTCATATCGCCTACGTACACTAGCATTGCAGGTCTAAATGCTCACCCCCTGCTGTAGCTACAGATGCTTCACAGTGGACAAAAAACGAGGCAAGTCAGTGCTAATTGTTGTTAACGTGCATATATGCTTGCTCACTTGGTCTTCTTGCCATTGTTTGAAAGCATGATTTAAGTAATAAATGAACAATTGTAAATTCAAGCCAATTTAGTGCTGAACCCATTTGATAGCTATTTCACCATCTTGTTGCACTTAGTGGCAGAAAGTGTGACTCCATTCCTTCATACACAAGTAATTTCTCCGAAGTTAACGGGGACAAAAATATATACTGGTAAATACCGTATAGCCGGAAATGTTTGCGTGCTGACATTGCGCACACATTACGTCTGATAAAAATTACGTAACACGCACACGGGCCCAGACGACGCTCCACCCACCTCGACGGCTGGATCGGAAGGAGCGAAAGACCAGGACCAAGCAGCTGCGCAAGGTTAGCCATGTCTTTGCTATGCTACTTTTGACGGACTGGAACTTCTCCTGATTCTGTACCTTCACTGACACCAGAAGCTCCCCGCGAAGCCAACAGGCGAGTCATGAGTATCGCTACAAGAATCGATGAGGCTGGCCCAGCGCCAAAACGCACAAAGAAAGCCTACCCCAGCTACTCCACTGAGGATCGTGCTCGCATAAGACAGTATGCTGCCGAGCATGGGCCAACCAAGGCACCACGGCACTTCCCGGTGCCAGAATCTACTGCCCGTCTGTTGAAGAAGCAATACTTGACCGAGTTACACGATCGACTCAGGAACAGTGCGACCATTCCTGAAGTGAAACATCTCCCTTCAAAATCACGTGGCCGTCCCCTTTTGCTTGGAAGTACTTTGGATGATGAGGTGAAAGAGTCTGTTACTGCACTACGAGCTACAGCGGGAGTGGTCAACACTGCTATAGTATTGGCTGCTGCTTAATGAATTGTTGCTGCTACTGAACACGGTCTCCTTAATTAAGCGGTACAGAGGTTCATTAGTGCTTACAAAAGCATGGGCTAAATCTCTGTTAATCAGAATGGGATTTGTGAAGCGCAAAGGTTCCACCACTGCTAAACTACCTGTTTCCGAGTTTAAAAAATGAAAGGAGCAGTATCTCTCGGGCAGTCGTGCTGAAGTGATGATGAATGACATCCCTCCATCTCTTGTAATCAGTTGGGATCAGACAGCTATTCATCTTGTTCCAGTCAGTGGATGGACAATGAATAGAGAAGGTGAGAAGTCGATCCCCATTTCTGGCCTTAACGATAAAAGAGAGATCACAGTGGTTCTAGCAGCAACACTTGCTGGTGAATACTTACCTCCTCACCTTCTCTACCAAGGCAAAACAGAAGGTACCACCCAGAAATTGAGTTTACACATGATTCGAATAGGATGTGTGGCACTCTGAAAACCATAGGTGAGTGAGGTCACTGGGCCTTAACGAAAGCTATCCCTGTCTCACAATTTTTGATGTCTTCAGGGGCCAACAAACCTCTTCATTTCTTCATTCATCATAACATTGTGCCTGCTAATTGCACCGACATGCTGCAACCCCTTGATCTTTCAGTCAATAAGTATGAAATGAAGACACGCTTCCAGCATGGTATGCAGAGTAGGTTCAGAAGCAGCTAACAAGTGGAAATGCTATATCATAGGTGAAGATTGACACATGTACATCTATTCTGAAGCCTAAGAGTGCTAGCTGGCTCATCGGAACACTGGACACCCTCTCAAAAGCCAGAATATATAGTCATCAATGGCTTCAGAAAGGCCGGCATTATTGATGCCCTTAAAAGTGACGCTACAATGAAGAACACCTACCACTGTATACCTAGTACATGTATGGCAAACATTAAATCCGCAAACTTCACTATTTACCACAAAACGCATTTATTATATAATTTCCAGCTATACGGTAGTATAGGGAAGCATCATCAGGAAGTGAGCTAGAATGACTTATGAATTAATGGGGGGGCCTGGCCTTGAGAACCAGGGTGTTACCACCAGTAAACTCTACCCACTCACCCAGCCTTTCTCACAGTGTTACTGCCAATGGAGTAATACAATAACAGCAAACACACCTGATATTGACGAGCATTGAACACAGAATACACAAGCGAGCTTGAGCGAAAAAGGGCAGCAGGAAGCGGTACAATAAAGGCTTAGTAGCACAGTTATTGGATGCTGCACTCCCATATGGGTTTTTAATGTAACTTAGGTAACCAGGCATCATACGTTACAACGGAGGGCGAGTGTCAAGTCTGACAATGCCTACAACGTGCCGGACACTCAGAGAGTTAGCTAGAGACCATGACACGAGAAAATGGAAAGCATAGCCCAGCCCTTTAATTAGTGGTACTGACCAATGCATACATATGAGTGCATTGCGAATACTAGTGATCTGCAAATGTCAAGAGCGCCGACGATCTGCAAGCACAGGTGTGGGAGTAGAGCCTATGATGTTAAGGGTATTGGCGCCTAGCTGTTCCTGACTCAATACGCATGTATCATCGAGCTCCGACGATTTGCACTGGTGCTTTTTTCATTTTACTGGGACAAGATTAAGTAATTATGATTATTGGCCTCGTCTAGTTGGTGTCTCTTTTTCCCCTCATTTCCATTAAGTGCCATCCTTGAGATCAATATTCCACCTAATTGTTGGAAATATCAATGAAGATGGAATCCTCTGAGTACAAGCTAGCAAGGTGCTATTCTGTCAAGGTAATTGGAGATTTTTTAAAGAAAATTAATTATGATTACGTTACAGCCTGTCAACGTATTTGTAACACACTTTGGATTGTTTTTTTTCCGCCTGTTTAAATTTGGTGTGTGTAGCACAGTTCATTGAGAAAATTAGGGCCCTTCAAATGACTAGGTAAACTTGCTCCAGCGCGCAAATTGTCTGTAAAACTTAAAAACTAAGTTCCTCTTAACTTGCAACACTACTGCTCCTACTCTGTACCAAAGGTCCATTCATGGCACTTTGCAGGTGAGAAATCTACTGTAACTACACTACACTATAATTATGGCTGATTCCGAATTTTCAATGTACATACAATGTGTTTTCATTGGGGCATGGGCTTTATGATGCATGCAATATTTGCGCCCAATGCACACTTACAAAGTCACGTAGCTGTATGTCTCATTAGAAAAATTTGGGCGTTCTGCTCGGCACTGAGTATGCATGTTTATGATGTCGAAACGTAGGGTGCACTGTTCCACGTGGTGTTTATGGGCAGAAACGATTGAAGGTCGGTTCAAGAACGCAAGCCTCTCGTGCCTCCCAGTTGCACTGGTTCTAGTAATGAGCAAAAAGGAGCATGTGCAGGGAAATGTAGCTACGTATGGCGTTTATGATTCGCTACAACCAAAGGTGTTACTGGCTTACTGCCAGTATTGCCAAGGCCTCTCCTTTTCAAAATTCTAGCCACATAAAAGCTGTAGTTCTACTACTACACTGTACATCAACCATCATAAATGTTTTCCATACAGCGTACCTCTGTTTCTCTACTAAGAAGTTTCCTTTGTTCACATTGAGCAGCTTCCAAGGTGTTCCGTAACTGTACTTCTAAACAATTGTAAGCTTGAAACTGCACAAAGAAAACAACATTTGGTATCAAAGAGAATATACGTATACGCAGGTAGTTTCTTTGGGGAAACAAGAGCGAGCTGTAGGATACTGTCAGCTAGCTTCGTAAAAGAAGTTTAATTAAAATGCACTGCTGGACGAAGAACAAATGTGTATAGAGCTGACTCACTCGCCCAATGAAACTGTTTGCTGGGCATTTGTGACAGAGGTTAACACAATGCAGTTGAGGTTTCACTGCTTATAAATACTGACTCATACATAGGCAACAATACATGCTTTCGAGGCAGATAGTTATAATCCGGCTGGTTATGGCAATGCAGCGAACAGCTCAATTTTTCGCATGTTTTTGCATGTATTACGTAGAACATTATGGAAAGGGCAGTGCGGGTCACAACATATACGCATTTGTAGCCAGGGAAGCCATAAAATGAAAGGCCTGTAGTACATTAGCAGTAACTAAAACCACACTGTCAATACCACTGATACCACTGACACTAGCAAAGTTGCACACCGTGCACACTCAGCAAGTAAGCCGTTAAGACTGGCTACTTTGCTACCAATAGGTTAATCCATGCCCATAGAAGGTTTACCGGGAATGGTACTCCCTAGAAATATCCTGCATTCATACGCTCGTAAAGTAGTAGCTGTAGCAAGGTTATGTATTGTTAGGCTAGAAGTAAGTGTAAACTTACGTAACTCAACTTGCTGTATATGGACGCGAAAGGGTCCCTACCTTGCATAGTTGCACAGCAAGTATCAGTAGTTCGATGCCTTTAAGTTCTAATACCGTGCGCATATTCAGCAATGCAATTTCGCTAAATTTCACATTAAATAGTACCCGTGGAACTGAGATAGTCCATTACCTTTTGTGTAAAAACTGCTTGTCGCTCTTTCTCCCTTCTTTCCCATTCTTCTTGAAGTTGAAACAGATAACAAGCCTCCTTCTTCTTCATTTCTTTTGTGAAGGTTTCCTCCTCTGAAGCTTTCCACATCTCAAGTTCTGTGGCAGCTAAGTATTCAGAAGCACTGGGAAGTCCTGTAAAAGGCATGTACATTGTGTTTTGTCTCCATAGATAACAAGTGAAGCACTAGAAGCCCTTCTCTCTCTCTTTTTCTTTCTTCCTTTCTGTATGTTAAATTATATTTTACACACAAGCATAAACACCAAGTGATTTTTTTGCCATCTCATGCCATGGAATGGGGTCCAATGAGTGATACAAGTGGTTCCTCCCACACACCATCTGCACATACGTAACTGAAATAATAATGAATTGCGACTCGTGTGTCAACTTTTGTGTGCAACGGACTAGCCGCGGATGCGCAATGTGCACCTTCTGATGTTTCACATGTTCACAGGGAGTGGCAGAGAAATGATTTGCTCACTGAGCTAGCGTTACGTATGTGGCTATCACATAATGTGCGCTAGAGGAACACTATGGCCCTTCAGTAGGATAAAAATTAACCCCAAGCACCGTTAGTTTTGCCTTAGTAACCATCATCAGAGAAATAATAAGTATAGCTTCGGCACACGCTTACGTGAGTAAAACACTCATACGAAAGTGTGGCACGAAATTATAGTCTGGGCTAAGTTGCAAATTTATTCGTGGTCTCTCGGCTCGGCTAGAGTTTGACACGAGCTAGCTATAGTACATACATGCAGGACTAGTCATCGTGCCTCAAGGGTATACAAAGCAGCTCGATCTTGTTGAGTTGTAAGCCAGTGCTAATTTGCATATTGGATTGTTCACTTGGTTTTCACGCCAAAGCTGTCGAACCAGTTTTTTAACGAAAATCGCAACGTGACTGCATGGCTTTGGTAGCAGGAAATGCAGTAACAGACACACTTAACGCTTACTTTTTGCTGCTACGTACGTACTTCCAAAGTGTAAGGTAGAACACGAAGCGGTAGGTAATTAATTGCTGTATGGCAAAAGACGGCGTGCGACAAAGAACGGTCGCAGAACAGAAGTAGTTAAAAACCGGTAAACTGCGTGTGCATGTGCCTTTCAAGTAACAATAAACCACGCTTGTGCAGCTCTGTCTCGTTTTAAGCAACAGTAGAAAAGCTACCATAATGCCAATGTTGTTTTGTGCAGATGAAAACAGTAAGCAAAGGCTAGCATTATGTATTAGTTAAACACCCTATTGAACACTTCAAAATATCAAAGGAAAAACCTGCAACCATGCTCTAAATGTAGCTACTCATGCCTAGCCCGGGCATTCCACCTTGTTAACACAGTTTGGGTATCTCCTGATGGCCGTAGGTGCCTCGCCAGTTGCTGTTAATGCTGCAGTCTTGCGATCAGTTTTACAAAATTTTCTGACCATTTTGCAATGGTTTCTGGACTGATCAGTTACGTTTATATCGCGGGAACAATAGGGAGCATATTTATTGAACAAAACGGATATGTTGCTTGTCTCCTATTGTACAAGTACGTTAAAAATTTGTTTCATTTAGGCATGGAATACACAGCAAGGATACCAGAAGACAGGGCTGACCTAGGGCATAGGATTGCAGTAAAAGAAACAATGGATTATATTTCAAAATTATGTGCATAACTGTCCTACGTACATTGCCGCTACTTTTACTCACAACGTGGCTCAGTTTAGTGAATGATGTGAAGTGTGCAAACAATTACATAGGGATTCTGTAGTGGGCCAAGAACACAGCATTTCAAGTAATAGTTTGATGACGAGTCGTAGGAAAACTACGCACATGGATTTATGACGCCATGGTTATATGAGGGAGGTCACTCAAGCTCTATGAATATATAGGGCCTGTGTGGAGGAAAATTAACATGGGCAGATCGATGTCAGTTTGAAGTACATATCTATAATTCACCAACTGCATCACATGCACTAAGTCAGTCCTGTTTTGTCTCCGTGCTTTCCATACCATCCCTATATTCACAAACTTCATCCCTATATTCACAAACTTCAATCCTTTCTTTATAAACAAGCATGTTGTGCAAGGAGCATAATGCCCACTAAAGTAGCATTATTGCCAGAGACGGGTTGTCGTCGTTTACATGTTCCATTGTTAGCGGACCCACCACAAGGGAATTTTAGAACCAACCACAATTTTGTTTCCTGAGGCTGTTTGTAAATGTTTCATTTCCTGAGGCTGTTAGTAATTTTTTTTCATGATATGTCATTGTTAAGTGAGAAGTGACCAATCAGATTGTAAAGCTGAGGTTGAATGGGAAACCTTGACGGGGCTTACTAAATTTTAGACTAAACAAGAAAGCATTACTAATGCAAGACACTGGAGTGCTAACCCTCAGCTCAGTAGGCGTGGGCACCGAATGTGCTCTTGTAACATGGCTTGAACATGCATAAAGAGTTGATGATTCAAGATAATTATGCACAGTAGAAAGCCGAGAGCCCCAAACTAAGTGAGGGCACTAACCCTGGGGCACAAGTAGTTACGGTGGAATCACCTTCTAACTGTTTCAGAGTGAGCATTTGAAATTGTAGCGTACCGGATAATTAACCCTCGGCGCGCATGTGCAGCGAGGGTAACAGTAGTTGGTTTGTCTGTCTGTCTGTCTGTGTGTCGACGCTCGCTCCTGTGTACCTTGGGGGTCAGGAAGTCACAATGAATGGCATGTATCGACCGCATGCTATCTACTACTGTAACCAGCCCAAGCCAGACTCTCCGCGAGCTACTAGCGGGAGACCATGAGTAAACGCATACCAATAGCCGAGCCCATCAATTAGCAGTATTACGCATGCGCAGTTCGCCGAGGGTTTGCATTTTAGTGCTTTTCATGTTGACCTCTGACCTATGTCGAGGAACAGAACATTCTAGCAAATTCCGCATAAAAATGAAATATAAAAGTGTGTGTATGAATGATAATTCAGTCGGTGCTGAGGTAACTATTGCAACATTGGTGACCAAGACGTGATTGCTTGCTACCTACCCGCTGACATGTCTGTGAGAGCCGGAGACTCCGACAGCGGATCAGTGGCAGCAAACCCAGTAGTCAGCCGCGAGCCACTCGCACCCTCCCTTCCGCCATGCAGACCCAGACCTTTAGTTCCTCAAAGTCACAGCACAGTTCAGTACCCGAGGGACCAGGCACGACCATGATGTCGTGTCTCTCTCGCCTGAGTTTGCCACCGAAGTCCGCGATTTGATCTTCAACATTCTTGAAACCCCCACTACATATTCAAGTGGGCGCTCATCGAACGTAGTTGCCCACCACATCAGAAATGTTTACACACTCAACCAAGTTAGGAGACTGCAAACCATTGCAGCTACTGACACACATGAGCCAACTCTGGGTGAAGCTGTCACTGACGCAGACATGTCACTACTCAGGGAATTCTTCTTTCAGCGCCCTCTGCTGACACTACGCACGGTACTAGCAAGCCTAGAGGAAGTTGCGCAGCTTGCTGAGGATGTGGCACCATCCACAGTAGCACAACTTTTCTCTACTTTCCCAGCCCAAGACGAGGTGAAGTCACTCCGGACCGAGATTGACCAACTATAAGAGCTGGTCCTACACCACTCAACCTCGTTCTCGCCAATCTTCGCCAGCTCCTCGCTGACCTCGACCCCCTACATCTCCGCAAACCTCACCCAGCCATGCCAGCTTTGTGGACAGATATACCCCACAATGCTCTCAGGCAGAAAACACCCAGGCTCATTAGGGGTGATGGAATGCAACTGGCCAGGACCTCAGTCGCCTATTTTACGTCACCGACTGTTCTACAGTTTCTTGTCGACACCGACACTCAAGTAAGCATTATTTCGCATTCCCCAACTGATCGTCACACCCTGCATACAAATATTACCCTTGAAGCAGTTAACGGGACAACAATCAGACCTTCACAACTAACTCACTAACCCCCAAGTTCGGCCTAGGTCAATCGCATAATCTCACAGGTGGAGTCACCCAGTGTTTCCAGGAAACCAACCACATGTTTCGACGATCTCCCGAAGTTCCCACGTATCTCTAAATCTTGCATCCTGGAGACCTCCGTTAAGTAATTCACCATAACCACCTAATCTCAGGTCAAACCCGCTGGGTATCACCTGTGCGATTGCATATCGCCCGCAAGGAATTCCAGCACATGTTGGATTTGGGTATCATTAGGCCATCATCAAGCAGCTGGTTTTCGCCAGTATATTTGGTACCGAAAAAAAACGCCTGGAGACCTTGTGGTGATTATTGTGCCCTCAATTATGCTACTGTACCAGACCGATACCCCATCCCGACATCACAGTTTCTCTCCATGGATCACATATTTCTCCAAAAAACAGATCTCATCCGCGTGCACCACAACATCCCCGTCAAACCCGCTGATATGCCTAAAAACGGCAGGGGCTACCCCGTATGGGTTTTTTAAGTTTGTCCACACCCTTCGGGTTACACAATGCACCTTTAATGGTTTATTGATAAGGTGCTCTGAGGACTTCCCTTCTGTTACCCATACATCTACTACCTGCACCCAAGACCAACAAATGGAACAAGTCTTCCAACGACTCAGCAAATACAGAATAGTAATGAAGCCTGCTAAATGCATCCAGGGAGTCTCGAAACTAGCCTTACTGGGACACCGTTTCAGTGCCACGGGTATTCGGCCACTGCACGGGAACATTAGTACAAGACTGTTCCCGACCCACCCCAGTTAACAAGCTTCGGGAGTTTCTTGGTCTCATCAATTTTCATCATCGCCTCATCCCGAACTGTGCAGCCATCATGGAACCACTTAATAATTATAATGCCACTCGTCTCACACCGCACGCCCCCACCTGCATCATGACATGTGCCTCCGACTTTGCAGTTGAAGCGGTACTCCAGGAGAAGATACGGACACAGCGGAAACGAGATACAGTGTATTCGATCGAGAGCCTCTTGCTGTCTACCTTGCTAAAAAGCATTTTCTGTCGAAGGACGTGAGTTTTTTTTACATAGTCGCAAAAAATTTAACGTCACAAAAAGTCACTATTAGGAAATGCTCAGAACGTGGCCACACCCATTGGAAGGAAGAATGGCAATAATGGTGAGCAACTCTTCGTTCTTGGTGAGGTCGTGCACAGACTATTGCTCCCAGAGACAAGGGGGTTGAACTAACGACAAGTCCTTAAATCCGACAAAAATTGCTATTAAACATATCACAAAAATTTCCAAAAAAGGAAAAGGTAGTCCATTAAAATTATACAACAAAAGGAAATTCAAAAAACACGAATTTAAGGAGAAATAGAGGGATTGTATAAAAGGAAGAGGGACAAGATATACGAAGCATGGTGAAGTATGAGGCATTAACATAAGTAGGATCTACCATATTTCCAGAGTGTACGTAAGTCACACTTTTTATCAAGAAATTTGCTTGAAAATTTCGACATACTGAGGATGCGAGAAAAGGGGGGTTGTTACCGTTGGTTCATGTACCTACGCGGCGCGGGTAACACGTCTGGCAGTCTAGGAGCGACAGGTGGGTCTATATGGCGACGAGGCGATACAACTACACGGCTGCTTATACGTACGCTGAAAGAGGATATGCCCTCGCATTTCTCTTTCTACTGTGTAATCGTGCGCGATCCCCCGAGAGCAGCCTGTCGTGGTGTGGCAGATGTGCAGAGTAAGTAACCGTACAAATCAGTGTATGACAGGACTAAAGTACGGGTGCGACTTAAACTCCGTGCGACTTATACTCCACAAAACACGGTGTAGCTCTCTCCCGCTCTCTCGCTGTCTCTCGCTTGCTCTCTCTCCCACTGTTATGCAACATACGGAAGATAAAAGGTGGAAACAAAAGGTTGACACATAGATTACCTTGAGTCTCGGCAGGTGGAAATCCCTTCTGATATTCAAGTGTAAGGGTGCAATGGACAAAAGCACACGTTAGTTGAGACACAACGGCTGACACAGGAACTTTTAGGGAACATCTTTGGTAGACGTCATTTCCGAGAGACACCTTCTCATTTTTAAGCACTTCACCCAAAGGAACCTGGATAAAGAATTTTCAAACAACGGTTGCAAATAATTTCTCATTCACCTGAGCAATTCCAACCAAACTGTGGCAATTGCCTCTTTCCATCAATACTTCAAGTAATATGGGGTGGCAATACAGTTGATTATGTAGTGAATCCTCACTACAGGCAAAAACAAAAGAATATGTTGAAGCTGAAAAGTAATTTTCTCCTCCCAAAACCAATGACACAGGAGGTTGCACGACAACTGGTTGCTGAGATCCAAAAAAAGGATACCTGAACCTGCAAACAAAACAAATAAGAAACTGCACTTTAATAATAAACTTCATGAACACAAATTTAATGTGCTGTGGCTTTTTGAGGGTGAATAAAACATAGCAAGCATCGTAATTCTCCAACAGTTTGCTTATAAGTACATGTTAAAGCACCGTTGGAGGAACAGTACGGGAAAATATGAATGAGGATGTGGTTGAGAAGCTGATGAGGTACTTGGCTACGCCTCTTGGCTTCGAGACCACATCTGAGTCCAACATTTTCCGTAGTATACGAGCGGCAGCTGAAGTCTCACATAACGTTAGCTATCAAGCTTACAGCAAGTAGCAGCTACCACACACAAACACTGGTAGACTTTAAAAGTTAAGTAAGCAAGGAGGGCCAATCTTGGCTCCGAAATCGCAAGTGTGCAGCAATCTAGAGAGTGCCACATTCATGCCTTGCAGTGTAAAAAGTGGAGACGGAGGTAGCTTGTAGAGGACTGTAAATATATTCCTGCTACCTTGCTGTCATGGCAAGAAATTTCAAAACCGTTCTGTTTCCGCAACTGTAAGTGCTGCCAATGCCTTTGATACACCAATGCATAGGGCTACTGAAGTGTTTTAAAGTGCAGCTTTCGGACCAATTTCTTCATGAAGAGTTTAGTGCATAGCTCATTTGAATTACAAATATGGCGTGAAACATTCAACAGGTTCAAATATTTTTCACGTAAGAAATGTATCATGACTCCTAAAAATGTTCATCAAAACAACTTGGTTTATTTTCAACAGGACAGTCTTGTGTGTCTGCTTTGAGCCCATCACTCTCCTTGTAACCAACAAAGAAAGCTCATGCCTGCCCACACACCACTACATGTAAATAAGGGGTAGGGTTCAACGAGCGAGCGTGCACAACAAGCTTCTAGTCTTCGGTGAGAGCCTTTGGTGTAGCAGCCAGCACAGCACTCTTGTTTGGCATAGATTGAAGTTGTCTCTTGTTGAATTTTTCTTTGGACGAGGGGCAGCGGACAGTCCTGGTGCGAGCGCAGCTACAGCAGCAAAGGGTTCAGCGTTAAACAGTCTCACACGAGGTGATGGTCTTGCTTTCGTCTTAAACAACAGATTTTTTACAGGTTCAAATGCAGCAAATGTATCCTGCAAAATTATCATCAAAACAACGATTTCCTTTTGACGAAGGCAGTTTTCTGTGTCTGCTTTGAGGTGATAGTCTTGTTTTGTCTTCAAATAGAAACAGCAGAAGTGCGCGTATACAGAACTGTTTTGCTCCGCACTAAACATGTCATGTACTCCGGTAACGCGGGATATACCCGATTTTAAATGAACCCTCAGGCCATCCGCATAGTACCCTTACTGTGCTTCGGACACTACAGATGCGGAGGCTCTTTGGTTCATTGAAATTCGCATGTCATTTGCATGTACGTAGTAGGTAACAAATATTTCGGCACATAGGAAGGCAGTGCAAATGGGCCCACACTCTCCATGTAGGAACATGCACATAAAGTGTGTTCATTAATTAAGTTCATACTCATCTTTGTTTGACTGATGTATGCCTGCATGGAGGACATTAAGAACTGGTCATGTATTACTGCCTTCTTCAACCTGAAAGTAGTTATATTCTCACAGTTACTCTGTGCTCCTGTAAACATATTATGAGCTCGCTAAAAAACTCTGATCCTATCACACAATCCCTATGCGTTGCCTGGTGTGCCACTCTAAAACTCTATTCGGACTCTATAATGGTGGTGGTTAAACTGTAAAATGACACTTCTCAACCAAAAAACATTTTGTAACCATATATTTGCTAGAACTTCTGCTCAATCACATAATGTCATAGTTCATGAATTCATTTAAGGAAAAGTACTAGTAAGTTATCAGATTAAATTGTAAGGTTTGAACGATAGTTTAGTGACAAATTGCATGAGGGTCAGGCTGGTTTTAGGTTAGAAGGGGTTGTGTTGATAATATTTATACTGTGAATGAACTCGTGCAGGGTAGGCTAAAGGAGGGAAAGGAGACATACGCATTCTTTCTAGATGTGCAGACGGCATACGATAGTGTGTGGCGTAACGGCCTGTGGTTAAAGTTGTGGGAATTAGGGAAGATGTGGAGGGTCACACGAGTCCAAAGAGTGTTGCATTGTTGGATGAAGAACGGTCAGAGGCATTTGGTGTGTAGCATGGGGTAGCTCAGGGATGTAGCTTATCACCAATTTTGTTTTGCGTGTTTATCAATGTATGCACAGCGAGGGTACGGTAGTTGGGTCCGTCTGTGTGTCTGTGCGTCTGTTACTCTCAATCTCTATTCTCGAGTGTTTGTTCGTCTCACAAAGGATACGACCTACTTAACGGGCAATGAAGGTCAGATTTAGAAATGTTTTTATGAAAATGCTCCATTGCAAAGCTAGAGCGCTTCCAGCATTGTACGGCTAATGCGGTACTCGCCATAAGGTCATTGATGATCTCTCGTCATCATTAGGTGTTGATAAGGCAAAGTGGTTGCATGATATTCAAAATGGGGGTTGCTCCTTGAATGGCTTTTGTCTACAGTAGGGGATGGTATCAATGAGAGAGAGATTAGAAAGTTTGAAGAGGGGCTAAATAGTAAAGTAAAGCTGTTACTGTATAAGACATTTTAACAAGGTGGTACAGTTAAAGTAAATGCATGGGACAAGTGATGCTAGAAGTGTGAGTCATGTGTCGTGGGAGTGTCCAGCATATAATAGTCTAAGGAGCAATTTCTTTGTTGCCTTGCAGGGGAAGCTTGGGGATGGGTTTGAGCATTCCAATTGCACGATAGTTTCACAAAGACATCCTATATTTTGGGTAGTGAGCTGTGGGAGGATAAATTTGGTTCTCTGCTCGACTTTTTTAAGGGTTCTATTTTGGATATTTGGGTAAGAAAGGTTGGCTATACGGCCATAATCCAAGTGTTCAACAGTCCCAGTCTAAGATTGCATCTGGGGAGCTGCAGGCTGTCGTGGGTGGAATGGGTGAGTTGAGGTGTCTGGCGAGATGAGACAAACACCAGTGTGAGTTTATATTCAGTTGGTGTGTTTGTTTTTGTTAATAGTTCCGCCCATTGCTCTGGGTGCGGCGATGGCCTTTCTAACGAGCAGACCGCAGGGATACGGGCACCAGCAGCAGAGAGAGAGACAGCTCTGACAACACACTATTAACCAATGACAGGCAAAAGTGAAGTACGTACATATGAGTGCACGGGCAATCAATATTAGACACAAATGACATCACAGACCTAAGGAGTGCCATGAACTCGTGACATCCAGGCCTGGGCGGATTATTCCGGAGCAATTTTGGGAATAATCGGGCACTGTAGATAAGCGAGAATAATTCCGGAATAATAGGCTGCTTCTTAGCTGAGGGGGCTGAGCAAGCATGCGGGTTTCTGCATGGGGGCTAGATACCAATTCCTGTGGAGAAAATGTCAGTTGCCAAAGCTACAGTAAGAATTGAGACTCAGTCTGAGATTGGCACTGCTAGAAAGATTGCCAAGTTCCCCCCACGAGTGTTCTTCAAACTACGCAGTATAGTTAGCTATAGACACAACACCTAAAAGTGATATACTTTTCTTGAGAATACTTAAGATAATCAGGAGAATTATGTGGGAAGAATAGGAGCTTTCATAGGAATTTAGGAAAAGAATAATAGGGCAAAAACAAGGAATAATCCATCAGGCCTAGTGACATCTCTCCTTCCATAAACAAAAGTTAAAGAGGGGAAAAAATGTCTTTTTTCTTTTTTATACATCTACAACTCGCAATGGCCATGATAATAACAATAATCAAGCACGTAAATAGGCATGAGTACACTGGAATGTGTTTGTGTGTGTTGCTTTTTACTGAGGGGTCTCTTAAGACGGAACATACGAATCTGGGGGTTTACAAACTCTCACGGATCGACGTAGTGGAGGTGTGGTGATTATTGGTTCGACAGGACCCCGTGCTGCTGCCGGGGGTGGACTCACAGGCTCAGCAGGTTCATGCATGATTGGTGTCCGTTCAGGTCTCTCGTCTGAGTTCCCGCTAGCTGATTGCATTCCTGCTGCTGTGTCTGGATTGGACAATTCTTGTGGGTATGGCTCGGACAATTCTTGTGGGTATGGCTCCTGTGTGAACATAAGTTGTCTCCGGTTACAAACGGAATTCCCTCTCCCCCATTCTGACTCGGTAGCTTCGAGGACTACATCAACCAATACAGATTCCCGGAGTGTACTTAGTCTACCCTGGTTGACGCTTTCGCACTGTTTCACCTGTTGAGATGGCTGGGAGGTCTCTGCCTTGTTGTTTACGTTTCTGGCGCTGAATGGCCTGTGCATCCTCAGCTGTGGGGTAGCGGGGTTGCAGCTGTGACTGCGTCAATGGTAGGAGGGTCTTGCACCAGCGACCTAAGAACCATTGTGCTGGGCTTGTTCCAACCCCCTCTGCTGGGGTATTTCTCCTGATACTCAGACTGCTCCACTTCCTGGTACTTTGTGAAGAGTCTTTTTACCGTCCTCACCGCATTTTCGGCCTTGCCATTGGGTTGTGGGTAGCGGCCCTGTGTGCCATGCATACATCGACGTAGGCTTTTAGATCAGCTGCCATTTTAGGTCAGAAAATGGAGTCCCTGGCTCGCCTGATGCATCCCTCTACCCCAATATGGGTGTCATGGCAGGCGGCCAACATTCTCTTTGCGTAGGGCTGAGGAAACGACGACGACTGGCCCCTTGAAAACTAGGGATCCCTGCACTGTCAGCTCATCCCAAAAAATATATAGGGACAGAACATCTCAAAAACCTCAGATTTGCTGTCAGGCCAACCCAACTGAATGGTCTCGCGGAGCTGACACAGTACAGGATCGTCGGCTGACACCTGTTGGAGTTGCTGAACATGCTCTTCGGGAAATAATAGTGTCGTAGTGTGATCTACCTGAGCCACTTCCATTGCTAGAGTGCAGACCTGCTGCTCAGGCACGTATGTGAAGGACTGGGGTGCTGGCTACAGCCTGTTTGTTTCAGGGCATCCAGTGCCTCCTGCTGGGGCTGGTCCCACACCCACTCAGTCTCCTTTTGGGTGAGGTCGTGACCCGGAGCGTCTCTGAGCTGACTTCACGTTCATCCATGCTCGCGCTAGTCCCTTCGCCGTCGCTGGCCTTCTCCTGTTCTTCTCCCTCACTCGAGCACTCTTCGCGCCATCCCTTGCGTCTCACAGGAAGTTGATATAACACTCATAAGAAGTTGATATAGCCCTCGCTGCGGGTATTTCGCCCTGATATAGTGCGTGGTGGCGCTTTTGATCCGCCCACACATGACGACATAAATACACATACTTGGGTGTTGATTTTACTAATACTGGTGTATGGGATGTGCATATCAAGAATGCGTTAGACAACGGTAGAAGGAATGTTAATCAGTTGCATAGTGTAACTACCAATAGGAATATTAATTTGAGTGCTCGCAGGTTGTTGTTGCTGGCGGTGGTTAGGCCAACTTTAGAGTATGGGAGTGAGGTGTGGGAAGCCGATAAGACTCAGGCAGCTGCGTTAGAGTCCGTGATGATGGGAGTAGCTAAGCGTATTTTTGGGTGTTCGTCTAAGACATGTAATGAAGCCGTTAGGGGGGATATGGGGCTTGATACGTTACAAGGGCATAGAGAGAAGAATAAGTTGAAGTGGTGGTATACGTTATTGCCAGGCTATCCAAAGAAGCTTTTTAATCAGGAATGGAATTTTAAGCAACGGAGAGGCAGGCAGAGGAAGTGCTGGAATAAGGTCATTGATGATCTCTTTTGGTCACTAGGTCTTGACAAGGCAGAGTGGGTGCATGATATTAAAAATGGGGATTGCTCCATGAAGGCCTTTTTGTCTATAGTAGGGGACAGTATCAATGAGAGGGAGATTAGAAAGTCTGAAGAGGGGCTAAATAGCAAAGTAAAGCTGTTGTTTTATAACAAGGTGGTAGAGTTCAAAAAGTACTTGCATGGGAAAAGTGATGCTGGGTCTAGATTAGTTTAAGTTCAGGTCAGGCACACATGGGCTAAATTGAGGAACTGGGCAGGCATAGTGGGAGGGAGGGGATGAAGGAGTGCCTGTTGTGTGATGATGAGTGTGAAAGTGTGAGTCATGTGTTGTGGGAGTGTCCAGCATATAGTATTCTTAGGAGCGATTTCTTAGTTGCCCTGCAAGGAGGTGCTTGGGGATGATGAGTTTGAGCATTTCCAGTCGCTTGATAGTTTCAGGAAAGCATCCTTTATTCTGGGTAGTGAGCTATGGGAGGATAAGTTTGGTTCTTTGCTTGGCCTTGTTAAAGTTTTTATTTTGGATGTTTGGGAGCTAAGAAAGGTTAGGTTATACGGCGATGGTCCCCGCGTACAATAGACCCAGTCTCAGATTGTGTTTGTTAACGGTTCCGCCCATTGCTCTGGGTGAGTGGGGTTGCCACGTCTTCGATGGTTGGCAAGGGGGAGTGCTCCCGTAGGATGGCATGGTTGAGGTCCTGGGGATCCAGGCATATCCTCAAGGTCCCGTTCTTTTTTGGAATGTTGACCATCGAACGGACCCAGGGTGTTGGCTGTTGTACTGGGGCGATTATTCCCTGATGTGAGATTATCTAGCTAGTGTGTGCCGGAGGGCTTCACCGCAATGGCACTGGCACCAGATGTGGTTGATGTTGCGCATGAGTTGTGTGGATATGATAAGGCTCATCCAAACGTCCAACGCCCTTCACAAGGACGGTCGGCTACTGTTCGATGAATTGTGACAGGGGGCCAGCCCACGAATTGAGTATACCGGAGCGCTGCTCATTTCCGGTTTGTTCAGCTGATCATTGTCCAGGTAGGATACAATCCGCTTTCCTAGAAAGGCCTTCCCACTGAGCAGTAGCAGTGACTGGACATCGGGATGATGGACTAGCTTGCAGTCAAGCAGACAGTGAAAATCGTTCCGCCATACACGTAGGAGTACTGCGCCTAGTACTGGGATTGTGCTACCCCCATAGGCTGTAATGTGCTCGTGGGAAGGATTCACCCGTCTGACCTCCTTGTCTTTGGTTGCCTTCCGGAAGCCCCTGGTTCCCCTGGCAAGATCAATCGGCGCATTTCGTGAGGCAGTGTGTGAAAATGTGTAAAAATGTCAGATAAAAAGAAGCACGTAACGAAGCCAAGCATGTGCACTTACACGACGTACAGACGGACGTATATAAAGAAATAAATGGAATATATAATACGCTCGAACGAACGACTAGGTTGGCTTGCTCCCGCTCGCCAATAAGTTAGACGCTGATTCGAGGAAACTATGCTGATTTAGAAAGCCGCAGGCCCTCGGACTGTAGCCGTCTGAGCGACAGCGAGGACGCTAGTAGATGGCCGGCCTGAGACTTTCTATATCGCGTGGTTTTCGAGAATTAGCACCTAACTGATTTAGAGCTATGGTAACCACACCTTCCAATGCCATCTGGAGTGGTTCTTTCTCACGAAAAACCAGGTAGTTGGTCATCTAGCAGGTAGCGGCGCATGAGTACAGAGACCAAGCTAGCTCTGGCTACAGCTCCAGTGAGACGAGTGAAAAACGCATGCATAAAACGTTTTAGGTTACAATGCTTCACTGTTAATGATAAGATGTTTAACATTGCCTGAGGTTATTTGTACAAACAGGTTAGCGTTGTTTTAACTAAGTTTCATTCACATAACACAGGTTACATTGATAGTCTGGGGCTATATGTTGTCGTTTACATTCTTTACAAACAATTGCAAATGACATTGCAAATCCTGCTATTAAATTTCAAGGCTATATCTACTCAGTTGTAGGTGTCTATCAGAGAGTCGGTAGACTCTCTATATAGGGATGACACGGGTGAAATCTCACGTGATCCGCGTACAAAACGACTAAAAACTCACGAAAAACCAGGTAGTTGGTCATCTAGCAGGTAGCGGCGCATGAGTACAGAGACCAAGCTAGCTCTGGCTACAGCTCCAGTGAGACGAGTGAAAAACGCATGCATAAAACGTTTTAGGTTACAATGCTTCACTGTTAATGATAAGATGTTTAACATTGCCTGAGGGTATTTGTACAAACAGGTTAGCGTTGTTTTAACTAAGTTTCATTGGATCAACTGCTAAGAACGGCAGGAACTTCTGCGAAGTTCGCGCATGCGCTTAAACCACTCAGCTACACCCACTAATTACAACCTTATTAAACGCGTGCGCTAAAACGTCACCATACACGAAATACTTGAGTACTGCTCTACGCGCATGTTCATTCTACATAATGCACGCTCCGAGAACGACGACCTCCACAGCTATTGGATAGAAGCGCAGGGAATGGTGAAAAAACGAGATCTAGACCGGATATAAGGACCAAAGACTGATGAAAAGATGGATATCCGGAAGGGTGAGGACATAAATCAGCGGAATACAGCTACATAATGCGGAGAAACGTAGTACAAGGCTAATATGAGAAGATGTTTGCTCTGTTCATAGTCCTCACACAGGGTACTGCTGAGCTATGTTCATCATTACGTTATGCAGTGCATCTCTAGCAGTCTGCCCAAACCTCTCTCTCCATAGGAACTCATCCAAATAGCTTGGGAGTTGGTGGGCATGGCATCCTCGCATGCGCTTCAGTTTGGTCTTCACACGACACCAATAACTCTCCACATGTTGAGTATGGACGCCTGTCACCGGCTCTACGAAGTGAGGGCCGAGGTCGAGTTGGACCTATAAGGCCCAACGCCTATTAAGAGCGCCCCACACGTAGAGTTGACCAAGGTGATTGTGGGCGACAAATGGTATTAGAATGATTGAGAAGCTAGATAGACCGTGGATAGTGGCAGGTGGAGTCGGAAAAGTTGGTCTGGTGGATTTAGTGATAGGCCGTCAGGCGGGGCACTTGCGCGCCAGGCCGGGACTCGCGCGGCCGTAGCGCCCAACTGGATCAAGGTGTAGCGGGTGGAGTAGAGATGTGACAAAGAGCCGCAATGAACCAGAATGGTCGAGATACCGGTGGATAGCTAGAGCTCCCGCAACCGGTCGAGGAGGGATGGACCGATAGGCTCGCGATTCGCGCTACACCAGACGACTGCATAGGGCATCCGGAATCATGAATAGGGTGATGGCCGACGAGGGGTGTTCTCTCCCCTCCCCATCCAGTCGACTGTTCCACCCCTCCCTCCTCTCGTCCTCTCTTTCGTTCTTCCTTTTTTCCCCTTTTTTCCTTCTTTATTTTTCTTTTTTCTCGTGTGGTTTACCACACCCATGTTGCAACGCAACATTCGGAAGGGCCTGACACTCTTCTGTAATTCTGATGCTGCCATTTGATCCGTCAATGGATTATGTACCAGGAGCTGTGTGAGCTGCTATAATCGGGAGTAGGGTCGCTGCGTCTCTCTTTTGTACCACTTCCATGTAGCCTAATGCCGGTGTGTGGGATGTATCCACTAGCCCAACACCACACCTCTCTAGTTGTTGCTCTGCCACGATGGTGCTACAGTGTATAAGCCTTTTTTAATAAATCATGCTTAATTTTACATTTTTCTTACTTTTGGTTTGTGGCGAAAGAGGCTTTCGTCTATCTCGACCACTGTCTGCTGGCCTCCAAGTATTATTGTCGGTGTGAGGCATCTGTGACTGGGTATTGCCTGACCCACATGTACATTAGTATCACCCACTTCTGCAGTGGGAGTCGTGATTTCTCAAAAAAGCTAGCTTTTCTGATGCTCTTTCTTGTGTAGCATTGTGGGCAATACCAGCTAACCCCGTCGGACACATCTTCCCGTGGCCGCTCAATCATCGGAGTATTTGGACACCTACATGCATTGCAATATCTCATTTCTTCGTGATTTACATGCTGTAACTGTCTTTATTACCTTGTGCAATCCATTGTCGTTGCCAGCAAGTTATGTTGTCGAAGGTAGGCAATGATTCGTGGTGTCCCACCAAATATAATCTGCCCAAGCTGAAAAAGAGACATCGTTTGCTTCCTTCCAGATATATTCAAGCGGCGAAAGTTTCCCCCGAGCGGGCATTTTTATCCAATCGATGTGCAGCGGTGCAGATGAAAGACCGTTGCAAAAGGTGGGAAGGGCTCGTTGCGTTGCAGAATGAACAGGCGCACGCGCGATAGTTTAGAGCAGTACTCCAGTACTTCGTGTATAGTGATGTTTTAGCGCACGCGTTTAATAGGGTTGTAATTAGTGGATGTGGCTGAGTGGTTTAAGCGCATGCGCGAACTTCGCAGAAGTTCCTGCCGTTCTTAGCAGTTGATCCGTTTCATTCACATAACACAGGTTACAATGATAGTCTGGGGCTATATGTTGTCGTTTACATTCTTTACAAACAATTGCAAATGACATTGCAAATCCTGCTATTAAATTTCAAGGCTATATCTACTCAGTTGTAGGTGTCTATCAGAGAGTCGGTAGACTCTATATAGGGATGACACGGGTGAAATCTCACGTGATCCGCGTACAAAACGACTAAAAACTAGGTGAGAATCACTCCCTAGGACTTCAAAACACACTAGCAATAGTCTACTGGCCCATATATACCTATACATGCTTCCAAAGACCTCATACGCACCTTCAGTTCTCCACACGAGAATTCGCTCATAGCCGATTTCACGATTTTCGTGTCATCATATTCTTCTTCTTCTTCTTCTTCTTTAGACCCGCTTTCTCCTTACTGGAACAAGTTGAAGCGCTGATTTTTTCACTGAGCGTCTCCAATTTCGGCGGAGGTGTGCACAGACATCAGGCGATCGTTTCTTTCTTGTTGCTAGTCACTACGGTAGATCATGGAGCTCTTCCATGGTCACACTGAACAACGCCATCTGCTGCTAACTCAGCATCCAGTGAGCCGCGCGCATGCGCCAGGCAGGGGCGTTGTCCAATGCGCTTGCGAGCGTATATAATATTACCCGGCGAGTTGACAGACCTGCAGAGGAACTCTCAGCCTCTAGTACCTTCGGTAAGTAAGTGCACACATTTCCAACTGGCTACCTTGCTGTTGATTTGCACGTTACGCGAGCCTTGCGGGGCGCTCAAATGGGCCTTCATTGTTTGTCCCACCCAGGTTGTAGCCTGATTACCAAAGCCTGCCCATGAAACCACAACCATGTGCATCCTTGTTGAAGACAATAGATGAGGTGAATGCGGTATCTAGCCCCTGCTTCAGGCACTAGCAGCCCCATTAGCTACTACTTTCAATTTGTCTATGGTATATAGCCTATCTACAACATACCCACGAACATCAGAGTGACTGTAACAATAAATCATAAGCTGTTAAAAATAGTGGAAACAAGTGGAAAAATCATTTCTTCGAAATGAAAGGGGGATGGCTTGAAGCACCAAAAAGGAAGAAACAAGGGGTCATTACACAGCAAAGTTGCACAAAGCTACATGACACCATCCCTATATCTTTGTTCCATATTAAACTTTGCTTATAAAGAATAAAATAAAGATATAGGGATGGTGTCATGTAGCTTTATGCAACTTTGCTGTTGTTTCTTCCTTTTTGGTGCTTCAAGCCATCCCTATATCCCCCTTTCATTTTGAAGAAATGATTTTTCCACTTGTATAATCTGAAGAAGGGGAAACAAGTAAATTAAAAATCCTGCGAATTTAAAGGAAGAGGCATATAGGGATGGTATAAAAAGAAAGGGAGACAAGGGATGGGATACATGAAGCATGGTTAGTGAACAGCTGACACCCCCAACCCAATCACACAATCCCTATATTGTTGCCTAGGTGAAGTATTAAACATTTACCATTGCACAATAGTATAGCTTGAAAATACGCAAAATTCATGCTACTGAGTAACCAAGAGTACAAATGGAGTGGCACACCAGGCAACAATATAGGGATTGCGTGATGGGGTTGGGGGTGTCATCGTGCTCAAATCTGTTCATTAACCATGCAGTCATGACGCCGCCTCGATACACACAGGCCAACGCTGACTCTTACTGATATAGATTACCACATTACAGTAGTGTACACATTAGTAGAGAGAGAGAGACACCGGAGCTAACGGCCAGCTCCACACACACATACACCATGATAACCATGACACGACTGACTTGACTGTTGCCAGACAGACAGGTTTTACAGAACAGAAAAGCGCGCACTAGATGATTACACAACTGAACATAACCGCAGTACAATACTAGAGCGTGACGTAAGCGATAACACGACCTGAACATAACCCTAGTACAATACTACTAGTGGAAATGTTGGCGAGCGGGAGCGACCCAACTTGGGATTTGCCAGCGATGTTCGGGCTGCATAAGGTGCTGTCAGTGCACAGCTTGCTTTCCTTGAAGCAAGACAGATGTACCTGTCGCCGTTACATGCGTACTGTATATTGCCAGAATGGTGAGAAGAACGGTTCTTGCCTTACGCTTTCAGCTCGTCAGTCGTGGTCCACCAGGAAGCTGGCATGCAGCAGTATCTCGAGCAATCCTAGCTCATTTCCAAGTTGCACCTTCGAACAACAAGGATTGGGAAGAGGTACAGCCTCGGTCAGTCACCAAAGATTGTAGCGCATGCCGTCGAATGGAGGAGAGTTCTCTCTGGCTAGATCGATCCGTCCATTTCGCGAGGCAGCGTGTGTGAAATGCGAAAAAATTTGGAAATTACATTCGGATAAAAAGAAGCGTGTAACGAAGCCGCGTATGCACACTTACATGACGTACGAACGGACGATAAACATATATATATAATTTATATACCGAAAAATCCACTTGAACGAACGACTAGGTCACGTTATTGGCGCTCCCGCTCGCCAATAACGTGACCTAAGCGAATGACACACATACACAATAGATAGTTTCCTGGAGTTCACCACACATGCTTCATGTATCCCATCCTTATTTTGTCTCCCTTTCTGATTATACCATCCATATATGCCTCTTTCTTTAAATTCACTTTTAATTTACTTCTAAAGTTGTGTACTTATGAAGAACCACGAAACTAGCAGAAAATGAACTAATCTGAGCAAAAATGGGCAAAAAACTAATCACAAAAATTGACCGTAACAAGGTTTTCTAGTGCCTTTCTCACCTCCGTAACCATAGAACCCCACTATATCTCATCACCTGGTAATGACCATTTTGAATCATGCAAAAGAGGACAATCTAGATAGTTCTATTTTATTTCACTAGTCAAAAACAATTATTTTATACACCAGACATTTCAATTGCAGTATGCAATCCTCTTTAGTGGTGAAATGAGTTTACAACAGGTGACAACCACTACTTATCATCAGACTCGAGAGGAATAAAATATGTCTCTCACTATAGTCAACCAAGAATTTTTATAGTTGGTTAATACACAGGAATCGAGTGATTATAAGAAGGCTAAACTGCACGTGCATTACAACAAACTTAGTTCTTTGTCGGATTTTAAGACCTGGTTTAAGGAAAAGCATATGCCAGCGAAAACCAGCAACTTCACAGGGAGCACTGTTCCTCGCCATTATGCACAGTGGAATTCTTTCGCCTCCTACATAGGCTACAGGAAAGCAAAATGGGTGTAGTAACGTTCTAAGTATTGACCTTTGTCACACAGGTTCTACGCCCATTTTTGCCCGTACAACTGCTTGAGTACGACGCAGCTGGACAAAATGGTGACACAAACCATTTTGCTAGTGAAATTAGCAACTGGTTTTACTTCCCAGAGAAAATGTTTTGATGAAAAATTCAACCTGTGTAAAACAACACGCAAACCCAGGTACCGGCATATGATTGCACAGCGTCTTTTAATGTGTTGCTACACACTATTCTGCACAGCATGGGGGTGCCCCTACTCAATTATGTGCCAACAAGCAGTTGCTGAAAAATATTGCGTGCAACGGAATCAGCCAATGATGGAGCAAGCCATCACACGCACTACTACGACTCCTCGGTCTGCGTAAATTTGCAATATTTCCTGCTTAAGTGCGCAAAAGCACGATTTGTCGTGGTCGTCACCGTTTACTCGCATCATTTTACAACAGAACAAGGTTGGAGAAATCTGGGAAGTTCAATTGCAAGACATGCATCAATGCTAGTGCAGAACCTTTTGATAGAACAGATTGCTGATAATTGCTGCAATAAGTATCTCGCAATTTTTCTGTCCACATATCACATCCCGAAAACGGTCTTGTTACTATTTCATACAATTACATGAGATCTCTACGGGCACCGAAGGAGTAATGTGTGTCACTCAAGAACAGGTTGTAAACATAACACATGCACATTCTTGGTGAGATATCTTAGGTTTGGAGAGAGAGAGGGAAAATGCAACACCACTTTATGCCGCTAGTTTAGAGCGAGGTTCACAAAATGTTACGTTGCCCAGTTGCGCAATACTGTTTTGTCGCATTGCAAGGATACGCGGAATGACGTTAAGAAGCATGGTGTGACGGGGCAATTTGTAAACCAAGCCTGGAGGGAAATCCAGTGCCGCAATCCCAAAACAATGATGTACGTAAAAACATTCCCTTTTATAGCATCAAATTGGCGGCCCTCGTTTACCATGCGCAATACTTTTGCCTTATCTCGTCTGTCTCTCCTGACCTTAGACAACTTACAACAATGTGAAGGAAGAAATATGGGAAAATATGTTGTACTGTCAATACTGCCTCGCCCACCTTACACAGCACTTAAGTCCTTCCTCCAGATTGATGTTGTGAATGCTGTGAATTTCAATTGAAAACTGGTACTGATGTATCGCATTTCCTGATTCCTCACATTCTCCAGATAAACAAGAGCGTGAGATTGCGTAAGGTGATGGCGTTATACTTTCTGATGACAGTTCAGTTTGAGTACTCACATGCACACGATGAACTGGAACATTAATATTTGAGCTGAAACTCAAATCATCTTGTACAGGATGTACGCAAGAGTCAGTGGATGATGTTAAATGCTCCCAAGTTGATTTTAACCGATTTTTTGAAACTGGTTCAGTGCTTGTTGTGTTTGCACCGCCATTGTTCTTTTGTAAGCCAGCAACAGCCTCACAGTTATGAACTGTGCGGAATTCTTGATGTGGTGAGTTACGCACCACCTCTTCAAAGGGTGAGAGGTTGTCACTTGCACTACTCCTAACCGTTTTAGGGACAGTCTGTTCAATTTCAGCTGAGTCAACAATAAATGGAGAAACATCGGGTGTTGCTGGACACAATTCTGCATGAAAAAACCAAAATCTCTGTGAAAGATTATATATACCAATATAATGATAACAGACAAAGTAAGGGTTAGTCACCTACAAGCGGTGTCTTCAAAGTTTTGACAACCGAAGCAGGTGTAGACAATACCCGAGGCGCAGCCGAGGGGATTATCCAACCTGCTGAGGTTGTCAAAACTGAGAAACCGCTTGTGGTGACTAACTCTTTTAGACCACGATAATTACTATAGCAACCTGCCGCGCCTCAACTTGCGCAGTGCACCAGCCTGTGCAGCTACTGAACGAAGACAGTCAGTCTGCAGTCTTTATTGTGCACTATGGATGTTGCTCCTGACGGGTGGTGGGGCGAGGACGATCTGGAGAGCCGCGAGGTCGTCGCGCCAGCCGACAGCACTTCCGCTGAAGACAGCACCGATTCCGCTACTTCTGAAGAAGATCGTATCTTACTACTTGCATCACAGCAGTATGAAGATTAGGCTAGTTCTATGATTCCAGATGCCGTAGAGTCACTGGAAACCTCCGCTTCTGCTAGGTTTGGAGCGCCCGTGACGCTCGAAGGTCGCGTCGAGATCTGCCACAACAGAGCGTGGGGAACTGTCTGTACCTCTGGATTTGCTCAGACTGAGGCAGACGTCGTGTGCTCAAACTTGATCGACCATTCATTGCGGACTACTGCAGCAACACGTTTATTTGCAGCTGGAATGGACGAACAGTTGATTATGCTTCGGACCGGTCATCGTAGTGCAACAGGCGCGTGAGATCATACAAGCGCTCGACAAGCACACTTAAAAAGCAAACATCCAGTGTTCTAAATGACTGTACGAATGTGAATGTCACCAATATTGATGTCGATGAGTCATTGCTTAAAAAGGCTAAACTAGATAAGGAGGCAGGGAGATCCTAAGGCCATTTCAAAGGCCGGTCATTGCTTTTATTTCAGTTGTTCATCAAGTATCACACTTAATTTTCATGAGTTTATGTCACACTTTCATGAAATGGCCAGGAACTTGTACATATTATATGTAAAATGTCACTGAACACTCTAAAATGTGAAGTATCTACAAGTGTTTTAGCTCCACTAGGTGTCTTAGCTCAACTAAGGCACCTAACCACAGCTGTCTGGGTTACTTAGCTGTTTTGAATACTCATAGTAGCTGATAACATCAAAGATTCCGATTCATGAATTATTAATGATTGGTCTAAGTAAAGGTAATGCTAAGTTAGGCTGTTGTTCCTAGGCTGTCTGTGTGTGAGAGAGAAGGCATGGTAGAGACTGCTAGTTTTGGCGAAGATTTTTCCTAACATTTCAGGTGTACCATATTACATTCAGAACTACTCGGTGTCCTGCAATGTCGCGTATGATTTCAGCACTTGAAAAGCCCAGATTTACATTTACAATTTTCACAGTGAGCTGACATTTACAATTTTCACAGTGAGCTGAACGGAACATGTTTAGTTAATACACTACATCTAAAGAGAAGAGGTTAACACATAGAGCTCCCTGGAGCGTATGTACAAAGCTTTGATCCATGCATCGATGTGCAAAGGCAAACCAAAAACAACTCAAAAAGAGACACTTATACTGCGGATAGCTTCATTCAGAAAAAACCTCACCTGTTTTCAGCACGTCACATTAAAGTACACGCCCAAAATTGACTGTGACGTTTTTTATAATGGTATGCACCTTCTCGCTCACGTAATAACTGGGACAAAGCAAGATGATCAGCAAAGCAAGATGATCAGCAAACCACTTACACTCTCTATTCGGTTACAAATAATTATGACAGTTCTTTATATTAAAACTTGTATTCTTGGGTATTCAGACCAATACAACTTGCTTATGTGACTGGAATGTAACACAATTTTGAATATGTAGGTCAATAATAGTTCAGAGTACAGGGTAATATAAGACTTAGATTAAGTATGTGTAACAGGTTCATATATAGCTAAAATGCTTGTGAATTATTGGGCAAATGGAGCGAGCCCCCGTAGTGGTTTCTTCGGGTGGAATTTTCTATATGTGATAGGCTCTAAGAAAACGACCCTTATCACGCACGTAGTATTGTTGTAGTAGCAGCGGTTTTACAGCGAACTACGTAATTCACCGATTCCCGTTTTTCCTTGTATTCTAGTACCTCTGTCTATCGTCTATAATCTTCGCAAGTGTGACGCACTAACTCCGTTCCGTAGTGATGGCCCTGGGTTCCAGGCAAGCACCGTTACTCATGCCGTTGTTACGCGGAATTACAAGGAAACATGACACGGGAATAATCAAACCTTTTACGGAGTCATGTAAACGGGAATTCCTCTTTACTACGTTTACCTAGCGGCGTATCAATGAATGCGGCCGGATGCGCGCATAATGTTGTAACACGGACTTGTTACAAGAATACGGAAGTTGAAATTTGACACCGGAAGTTCACCTTTAGACGCGATTTTTCACGTTAGATGCAGCGGAATGGCACTTGCGCTTGTGCTCATAACTACGACGGAACGGGCTACGCCCCTGAAACAAACGGCAAACTATTGAGCTTTTATAGGACTTTCGGCGTAGCGCACAAAAATAATTTGCGAATTTGCGTCATAAGGGTCGTTTTCTCAGAGCCTGTCACATATATATACAATGAACAGTCGTCGTAGTTATGCGCATGTGCTGATATTACGCGCTTCAACAAATTTTGGGCCGGGGGGTTCAGTTCACGTCCAGCAACGATGCTGCTTCGGTTCCAAGAGGTAGACAGACAGAACGCCCTGCTGTCGAAAGTCCTCACGTTGTCTTTTATTACGAGATCAACAACGGGCAAGTCAACGATGCTGCTTCTGTTGAAAAAGCAGACAGACAGAACACCTGGCCGTCGAAAGTCCTCACGGCCGAGAGGCTCGTCTTTTTCCAGTGACGATTACGAGATCGAGAGCGGGCAACGCAACGACACTGATTCTGTTCAAAGAGGTAGACAGACAGAACGCCCGTCCATCGAAAGTCCTCACGACCGAGAGGCTCGTCTTTTTCAGTGACGATTACGAAACCGAGAGCGGGCAAGGCAACGACACTGCTTCTGTTCAAAGAGATATACAGAATGCCTGGTTGTCGAAAGTCCTCACGGCAGAGAGGCCCATTGCTACTTTATTCTGGTAGTTTCACTGCGACTATACAAACTTCTGTTACTTGCTGAAACATTTTACCTGTAGATACGTAGCTACAGGAAAAATGTTTCAGCAAGTAACAGAAGTTTTTGTGTCATATTAAAAATTTCAACGGAACGATAAAGGTAGTTATTATCGCTAGTAATCGTGATGGTTGTATATACTTGCGCTATATATATATGTTATAACGATGAAATTATAGCTTGGTGCCTATGTTGCGTGAGATGTCATACGCCATGCCCGTAGGTTTTTTTCCCGCTCGTCGGGTGTTTCTGAAGCGGGACGCTGACTCCTGCAAGCTCCGTCTTGCAAATGACCACTCTCTTGCACCGAGAAAGGCGTGTTTCTCGCTCCTTGGCTGCATTGCTGGTTGTTCAGTTATTAATCATGTACAACATTACGGTGTGTGTGACATCGCCAGGCAGAATGCTGGAAAATTGGCTCATTGGGTTGAAGCTCACTCCCGCTAGATATTCACTTAGTACTATGCACTCACATGTGAAAATGTGCTTACAAAATCTTGTAACTCGCATAGTGTGCCCACCGAGTTGTCTCCCTACACAACCCGTGCACATGGGGAAAATGTGTGAATCAGTTTGAGTAAATACTAAACATGTTAGGCATCTAGACCGTTGAAATTTATGCACAACAGAAGCCTTCACGTAGTGTCTCGGAATGCCACAATGCAAATGGCCTTAAGCTACTAACGTGAGTAGATTTCACGGACTTTATGTCTATGTATATTGCTGACCATTTTGCTCCTGGGAAAGTGAGTAATCAGAGAGACTGGTTTTTACATCTGAAACTGCTTCAAAACATCTTGCGAGGCTCCTCTTTACAAACAGTCTGTTCTCAGTGTGATCCTTCAGAGAATTTATAACAAAATCTGTAAAACGCTTTATACGAATCCTTTTATTTTTACAGGAGTACGTCCCTGATGGCCTTCATAATAATTAAGACAGACCACAACCCGTGGTACCTATTATAATCATGAAAAAAAAGCAATGTGGAGAAATGGTTTTGTCGTTTTTCTTCAGATTAAACCTCGGTACACTTAACGGCATGCTTACATGAGATGCAGAAGCAGAAGTTCAATTAAAATATAGGCTACCAGAGCAAGGTGAATCGCCCTTAGGATCTTAGCAGGTACGGTAAGTTGCATTATTATGTTGAACTGAGCCCACTGAACATAGCGATAATCTGAATCAAAGCAACAAATCGTCTAACACAATCATCAACATTTACACCTTTTTATAAATGAAGGGCTGCACTTTTCTAATGCACAATTACGAAGGCACGAAAATCGACAGCTGTCCGCATTAGAACAAGGTATCTTCATCTTTGATTGCGAATCCTGAAGCTGAAACTGTAGTTCAGAAAATACCAAGAGCTAAACAGAGCGTTCCCTACGAGGCTCATCTAGTGCCAGCATTAAAGTGAGGGCTCTTCTGCAGATGAATCAAAGCTCGTAGCAGAAACTTCTTCGCATTAAAAAAGTGGTGAATCTAGGGACAAAAGACTGGGCAAGGTCAATGATCTTAATCACCCAATCCCTTCATCTTTTTCCACATTTCGCATGTATTGATTATACTGCCACAGAAATAAAGAGTCTACATGGACAAAGATGAAGAGATGGGGTTAAGATTATTGACCTCGCACAGTCTCTTTTTTCCTCCTTTTCATGAAGTGCCATCTCTACACCCGTCTTCATTTCAGAGAAATGATGTTTTCACTTGTGAAAATAAAACATCAGCAATCTCCTGAGTAGCAAGAAAGCCAGGTCTCATTCTCACTAGTTGTTGGCCAACAAAGTAAAGTCTACTCCGCTGCACTTGCAAGGATTCTGTTTAGCTCGAAGAAATAACTGCAGAAGCTATCGCTCTATACAGTGACAGTTGCGTCCGTACAGCTGCACATACATACAGCAAGGGGCAAGCCCTGACTAAGGCGCAGATTGAGTGGTCGCTATCATAAACAAAGCGTAGAGTGTGCATCCCAGTAGACCACAAGCAAGCAATGAATTATGACATATAACATAAAAATTAAATTCTGCAAAGAAACTTTTCTTTTTTAGTGCACAAATCTCGCACATAGGGAGCCAAGAGAGCGAGTGACACTCTCTGTTAAAGAGTTTCCTGGCTGATTGAGATAATCCTGAATCAAATTCATACCAGCCCATCTGTCAAACAAACAAGATTTCATCAACAGGCTCCACTGCACGTTTCCGGATTGACTGCACACATGATCTGCTATTCACCATGGATGTATCAGCCCTCTACTCGATAATCCCAGTGGATGATGGCATAACAGCACCCTTTAAGGTGCATAAATACTAACAGGACGACGTTGACACATCTTGGCCTCAGCCTTGATGAGGTCAAGTCTCCGCCAATGTGTTCTCAAGAACAGCTACTTCCAGTTTGGTGAAGATGTCTACAGACATAAAACGGGAGTCGGAAGAGCCCCACCTATTTTCACTCACGAATCAGAAGGACGTCACTGACTCGTCAATCAATGTGGATGAGATACATTGATGATATGTGTGTTTGGAGTATGGCAGCACATCCACGACTTTGTCCACAATCAACGCCATGCCACCAGCTTCGGCCTAGATGTGAGCATTTGTGTCATGCAGGGTGGGTCAGACCTAACCGAGATCCATGTCTATAGTAACGCGACAACAACAACCTCTTAAATAAGGTCCTTCAGAAAAATAGGCTGCAGAAGAGAGGCAACACCTGCGGATTATTAGAGGATCGGTAGACGCTCTATATTGGGATAGCTCTGGTCAAGCGCTCATTTTTCCACTGAGCGTCTCCAAATTCCAAGGTGTGCACGGACATCAAGCGATCGTTCCTTTCTCGCTGCAAGTCACTACGGTCCATAGTGGAACTCTTCCACAGTAGACACTGAACAACACCATTTGCTGCTAACTCAGCATCAGTGAGCCATGTGGATGCGCCGAGCAGGGGCGTTGTCCGATGCACTGCGCGTGTGTTCGCAACCACAGGCAGGTTGGGTTGAGAGACCTGTCTCAGCCTCCAGTGCCATCTGTAAGTCAGTGTACACACTTTCAACTGGTTAGGTCGCTTTTTTCTGTTGATTCGCATGAGCAGTCTGCACGGTGTTAAGTGAGCCAAGTGCGGCCGCACAAAATTAGCCTTGAAGATTCTTCGGTCCCGAGGTTGTACTGATTACTAAAGTCGGCCGATGAAACCATCACCGTGTGCCATAACCTAATTACATCCTTGTTGGAGAAAATACACGGAGTTAACATCTACCACCAGCTTCAGGCACCAGCAGCCCATTAACTACTGATTTCTGTTTGTCCATGGTCAACCTCTCTACAACATACCCGTGAACATCAGAGTTGTAATAAAATGATTACGCTAAAGATTCTAGATGCCCATAGCTCACTCTGGGCATCATACTTCTAAGATTGTATGGTGGTAAAATATGAATACCTTAGTATCAGGTTAATGAGCACCGGTGCTTGTTTTCATAATATAGCTGCCGTAATACGTGGGTTCTTGATTCCGTAAAATGCATGTTAAACGAAAATACACTTAAATCGAAAGACATTTGATTTCGATAACTGCTGCTGTTGGCATTCCAGACCTTTTCCATAAACGTTTCCACCTCACCCTTTAGACAACATGCAGTGCAATTGCACATGCATGTTTCTGATTTCCTATATACATAAATGGGATTAGAACCTGGAAATATTAAATTACATTTTCTTGTTTCATAGCATACTAGCATTAAAGACATAGAGGGAGAGACACAGCCTCGGTGATATGCAGAGCAGAATATTTTAAGGGTAATCGCATTCTCCTGAAACTTTAGACAGCATATGCAAGTTCACAGTTGTCTAAACAAAGTGGGAACGTTATAGGTTGAACGTTACCAATAGACCAGTTTCACGAACGGCACAAGGAATGCATTAGTTTTAAATTGAACGTGACGTCACATCCGGAGTCCCGTTCTGGCTCCAGCAATGTATTGCGTTCTACGGAGAAAATGGAACCGTCCGTACTTAGAGCGACATAGCGCGTAGCTCTTACGGTATGCTCTATTTATAAGCTACTTTTGCGATATTACAGTAACTGTAGTATGCGTGAGAAAAAGAACGGACGCTCTAGCTTGTTCCTGCGCGGAGATCTGGGCTGAGAAAGGATAGTTGTTAGCATCATGACTGGAAATCGATGTGTTCTGTGTGGCTCTACACTTGCAACAGACCCTGGAGCCTCTCTTCACCGTTCCCCGGCTGAAAAACGGCTAGAGCGAGGTGGATTGCAAATCTACAGCTAGGTGCTGACGCCATATTCTCGGCTGTGAAGCCGACGCTTTCCTGGTGGAGACCTGAGCAAGGAGCGATCAGCTTAACCTGGGAAAAGAGACTCCAGGGTCTGTTGCACGTGTAGAGCCACATAGAACACACAGAACACATCGATTTCCAGGCATGATGCTAACAACTATCCTTTCTCAGCCCAGATCTCCGCGCAGGAACAAGCTAGAGCGTCCGTTCTTTTTCTCACGCATACTACAGTTACTGTAATATCGCAAAAGTAACTTATAAATAGAGCATACCGTAAGAGCTACGTGCTGCGCCGCTCTAAGTACGGACGGTTCCAGTTTCTTCGTAGAACGCAATACATTGCTGGAGCCAGAACGGGACTCCGGATGTGACGTCACGTTCAATTATCTCCGCCCACTTTACGTGCCATGCATACTTTTGCATTCGTGAAACTGGTCTATTGCATTATGTTTAGGACTGTAAATGCAAGGGTCCAACATACATGTTATGTGGTAGGTATAAGAGGGAAATTAGTAAGGATTGTGTGCAGATTATCAGGGAGTTACATTATATGGCAATAACCTTGTCCCTTTGCAGGAGTGCACCTATAGACCTGCTACGAGTCGCTACGTGGACAGGTGTGTGTCAGGCCATAACACTATGGGTGCCGGGTGCCGCGTGCTACTTAAATGGCGCGCACGTAATTGCTCCGCAATTCCGCGTGCCACTTTAGTGGTGCGGAATTACGTATTACACGGATGGGCGTGGCAATATGCCGCGCATGCGTAATTCTGCAAAAACACTCGACTTTCACAAGAAGATGGTCTCGTTGTCCTCATCGTTATCTACGTCTTCCCCTGGGCCTTTACAACGCTGCTGTTGATGTAATAGGCGGTCGAAGTGTATTCGTTGTGTCTGCGTGAGATCTAACAGACGTGAGATCTAACAGGAACCTGCCATAACTGTCTCTCTCTCCCTCGCCCCAGTTTCCCGCCGCCGCCAAGCCCTCCGACGTCCGCGCCACCTACCACTTCTGCTGAGACAGCAGCGCCAGTTTCTTCAGCTCCCACCACAAGCGGGTTGGCTGCTGCCGCCTCGACGTCTTCCACGACCACTTATCTTTCTTTTACCCCTCCCCGTCCAAGGCAACCGCAGCTCCCTACCCCTGTGCCTTCCTCTCCAGTTTTGAATGCACTGCCATCTTTGTCAACCATCCTCCAGTCTTATATTCTCACTCTCCAACATATCCCCAAGGGAGTCAGAGACTGCTGGGCCAAGGCACTCCACGGCTGTCTCACTGACATCGTTCGTAAACCTGCAGATGTGGGGTTATGGACTAGGCTCTTCATCCTCCCCAAGTGTGTGCTAGCTAGTCTAGCTGTGGGACACAGGCTCCCATGGCGTGAAATTCTCCAGCGCGTGAGAGGTCGTCTCCGGAAATGGTTTGACGGACCCCTCTCCACTGTCACCCGTCAGGAGGCTCTAAATGCACTCACCCCTGGGTGTAGAAGTCAAGGGAGGCTGTGAAGATATTGTTCATTCTGTCTCCCACTTGATGGCTTCAAC